AGGAGAAGAAGAAGAAATCCTCCGGGAAGTCTCTGAGGACTCTGTTCTCCAGAACCGAATCGGGTCCGGACAAGTCTGCGCAGAAGCAGCAGGACAGGAAGAAGTTCAAGTTTCCGAAGCTGAAGATGAAGACGAAGATGGAGGCAGAGAGGCAGCAGGAGGTCCGGTAGGTTCTGCTGGTTCGGACGGGTCCAGCACCAGTAAACATGCTGGTGACGTCACGGCGCGCAGCAGCTGCTCCTGTCAGCCGTTAAGTTTGACCGGAAATGATAAGGGCTCTGACAGGTGATGCTACTTCCGGTTCCGGCTCTGTTTGGGTCATTTTACCTCAGCTTGTCCAGCAGAACCAGAACCAATCAGTTCAGAGAGTCAGATCGTTTTGAGAGTCTGAGCGGATCTGATGGATCTGGTTCTGCTCCAGAACCGGGCCGGGTTGGCTCAGCTGGTTCTGACTGGTTTCTGGAGATTTGGAAGGTTCCACAATGGTACCAGGCCCAGTCGGGGTCAAAGGTTCTGAATGAATTTCAGCCAATGGAGATGACCTTTGACCTGCCCTCCATCATGGAGGCCTCAGCTGCACCTTGTGTTTGTTAAATGAAGTTCAGATCTGAGATTATCTGTAATCCCACATCACTACTCTGCCTCTACCATGCCTCCCTGAAGTTACTGAGCTTCCTCCTCGCCGTGATGGTGGTTCTGGAACTGCAGGCGGCCGTACGCCCCGCCGCGGCCGCCGCGGCCCGCCGCCGTGGAAAGCTTCAGGAAACCAAAACACCGGTTGCCAGGGTGACCTTTGTTTGGGCGACATGATGCCGGTTCTGATCTGTAAACGTTCGATATGAGAATCTGGGCAGAACTTCTCTGAACCCTAAACTGGGTTTTTAATAAAAATATTGAAGTTCATTTAAATTTCAAGACGTGAAATCAGGAAGAAAAATTTCTGCCAAGTTTCAAACTTTTCTAACAGCTGAAGGAAACAGTTTTGTAAAATGGCCGCCGGTGCCTGGAAGCAGAACCACGAGGTTCTTCTGGTACCACAACAGCTGACCTTATGCTGAACTCTGACCTCTGCTGAGCGGAGCTCCGCCCACTCCTGGAGCTCAAAGTACCATCAGAACCGGATCAGAACCGGATCAGAACCGAGTTACAGAGAAAAATTAGTGCAAAAAATAAGTTAAAACAGAGAAGGCAAATTTCATCACCATATTTTCTGGTATGATTGTCGTAACAATAAAAGTGACGATCAGAACAATTCATTACTTTTCCAGATTTTAAAATGTTTCTTCGTGTCACATGAAGAAGTTTGATCTGCATCTGTAAACATCAAAGCATTCAATCATATTTCCACCTTTATTTATAAAAAGATTATTTGTTCAGCAAATTTTAGCTGCAGTTCAAAGTGCTTTATATTATTAAAACAATAATAAATTCATAAAATGACTAACTGAGAAACCAGAAACATTCAATTTCATCGAGTTCCAACATCAATAAACATAAAATAATAATAATAATTAATTCATGCTTTTCTTGAACAAACATTGGAGAAAATATTGAAACCAGATCATCAGTATTTGGAAAGTTTGTTTTTCAAAAATATCAACTGTAATTTATTATAACAATAAATTAAACATCTTATGAGGAAAGATGCAATAAATAAACATGAAAAACAAAATGCTTTTCCCAAAACCGGCAGCAGATCTGGTGTTTTTATCAATATCCAATAATTATTGATCATCAATCAGCTTCTCTTTCCTAATAAGTTGGTTTTGTTTTAAAGATATTTGCACTAAAACTAGTCAAAGGTTGAGGTTCTATGATTCAACTGATCTGCATTTTGTTTATGAAATTTTCTCTGATGAATTGTGGATCTGCAGATTTCATCTGTTGACAGTCAGAGCTCAGAGGTTAAGCTGCAGGATTAGCTGTAATCCCGGCTGTAATCCCGGCTGTGGGCCTCACCTGCCGGACCGGATGCAGGCGGGGTGATGCTGCGGGCCGTTCCTGTGCAGAGGAACCTGCCTCTCCGCATGCCAGCCGCTTTCACAACCGGCTCCTCGCGAGCCGACAGGAGAGTCTTTGTCTCCGGATCGCAGCGTCGCTTCGTCACAGTTTCTGTCGGCTGCGTCCAGCTGAGTCACAGAGCCGCTCCTCATCCTCACCGGCGACGATGAAGGCCGGCCGCTCCTCATCCTCACCGGCGACGATGAAGGCCGGCCGCTCCTCATCCTCACCGGCGACGATGAAGGCCGGCCGCTCCTCATCCTCACCGGCGACGATGAAGGCCGGCCGCTCCTCATCCTCACCGGCGACGATGAAGGCCGGCCGCTCCTCATCCTCACCGGCGACGATGAAGGCCGGCCGCTCCTCATCCTCACCGGCGACGATGAAGGCCGGCCGCTCTCATCCTCACCGGCGACGATGAAGGCCGGCCGCTCCTCATCCTCACCGGCGACGATGAAGGCCGGCCGCTCCTCATCCTCACCGGCGACGATGAAGGCCGGCCGCTCCTCATCCTCACCGGCGACGATGAAGGCCGGCCGTCAGACATCAACCTGAGGAACATTTAGAGATTTTAAATGAATAATTCTGGGAAGATTTCTCTGGTTTCCTCTGATTAAATCAGATCCTTCAAAACAAAACGAACCAACTGGACCCAAAATGCCTCCAGCTTGTGAATCCAAATAGTGAAACCTGAAGCTCTGAACTTGGTCATTAACTTTATGACCTTCAACACCTGAGATGAGATGCAAACTGTGTTATCAGGTCAGACCTGCTGCAGGTTTTCTGTCCGTGTTGTTCTGGTCCAGTTGGTTCTGGTTCTGGCAGCCTTCATGCATCGGATCCTTTCTCCTGGTTTATTGGACCCGGCACTTTGTCCTAAAATAAATCGTATTCTGTTTTCTAAGGTTTTCAATCTTTGTCTCTGTGGTTGCAGAACGAACTCCACAAACTTTCTCACAAGTCAACGCAAAACTGACTTTAAAATCCCTGGAAATAAATATTTATAGAAATAATTAATATGAATGATTTCGATGTCTTTCAGAGCCGTTGTTCCTCTGATGAAGACCCGAAACATGAAGACACAAAATGACTGAAACGAGTTTCATTGACGTATCAGAAACTTGGTCCGAATTTTGATAGCGTTGCATTTTAATCATTTATCGTCTGTTGCTCAAATTTTTTCCTTTAGCATTAAAAGTTTATGTTTTAAGTCAACACGGACAAAAATGTCAAAAATCAGAAATTATATTCAATGTAGTAAAAAAGTAAAAAAGCCCAACATGAATCTTTACAGCAGATTTTCAAAACAACGTAAAGAATCCGACCGTTTCCTGGAGTCTCTTCTCCAGGCAGAGCGCCTGCTGCATGCAGCATCTACCGCCATCCGATCCGGCTGTGATGCAGCACGGCGTTGGATGTGTCATGCTTTGTTTCAGCCAGATAAACAGAAGGTGTTTCACTAGAAAAGGGAGGAGAATAAAGGGGATTAAATTTTAATCCTAGAAAGAAACCACAGCGATTCCACATGAAACGAAGCAGAAACTCTTTCAAAAGAAGAAGAGAAAACGATGCTGAGACATTTGGGGAATGTTCAGGTCATTCTGAGGTTTCCTGATGTTTGGTTTCTGCTCCGACGCATCGTCACATTTCACCTCCTGCAGAGAAAACACTTTCTCTCCCCAGCCACTTCCTGTTGGACGTCCTTCACTCGCTCACATTCTTTCTGCCAGTCAGCTGCTGAAAGTTCAAACATGGAAAGTCTGCGTGTTTCCTGCTTGTTGACATGTAAACACTCTGCGACTCGTCCTGCGACTCGTCCTGCGACTCGTCCTGCGACTCGTCCTGCGACTCGTCCTGCGATCTCAGGACACCTGGTCTGCAGGGACATGAACTCGCTGCAGCTGCAGTGCGGCCCTGAACACTCGCCACCTTTACAGCCGCTGTAAACAGGCTGCGCCTCTGAGTGTGTGCTGAGCTATAAACTGTTGGACTTTCATCAAACTTCCTGTTTGGTGTGAAAAGAGGTCAAAGGTCAGCCTAACAGGCAGAGCGAAATCCTGGACAATAGAGAAGGAACTCGGCCTGGAAGAAGATTCCTGTTTGATCACATGATGGTTTGATGCAGATGATTGAAAATCTCAGCAAAATCTTTCACACCTAGAAATTAGAACCTGAATTGATTTGGAAAAACTAAAAACAGTTCAAGATGGAGGCCGTTTTTCAAGAGTCAAGGAAAAATTATTTTTGCACTTAATATTTATTACAGACAAATACTTTTGATGTCAAATTACACGTAATTGGATTCAAAATTTGTATTTACTTTCTTTTACGTTTTTCTAAATGGCTGCTTTTGTTGTCATGGAAAATGTTTGTTTTACTAAATTCACTAATTAAATGATGTTTGTTAAATTATAAACTACATTTTCTGAACTACAGAAATCATATACATATTTTTGATCATGGCTTTTGTTTTTTCCATTACACACATAAAACATTAGCATAAGCTAAAGCTAAACCGTACAAAAATCACAGGAAGCTGAAGTTAAACCACTAAATACTTTAAAAAATTAGCTAAATGCAGCAGCTAACCTATAAAAAATATCAAAAACTGTAGCTAAACTGCTCAACACATTTAAAAATGTAAATAAGCTAATGCTAAAATTAGCTCAGATTGAACTGCCAATAAAAAAGTAAATAGCTCCTATGCAACAAGCAGGCAAAAACTAAAGTTAAACCGCTAAGTGCAAAAAAAATGTGCAAATGCTAACACAAAACTGCTAAATACATTTTTAGAAATGAGAAGAAACTATTGTTAAACTGCAAAACAAAAAATGAGAAGAAGCTAACAGTAACAAGATGCTCAGTTCTGACTTTGCTGCATATTTTCTCTGTAGAGTTTGAACAGAAACATGATGTGGCATAAAGTTCATCCAAGTCATGAAAACACGGAACATTTTATGGCAATAATTTATTTATTTGAAAAACGGTCGTCATCCTGAAATTCAAGTGATGGGAAAATTAAAAACGTAAAACGTATATCAGATTATTGCAGGAATAATCTGGATTATTCAAACCTGGCGTGTTTGTTCTTCAGGACTGCAGAGGAAGAAGACAAGCCGGCCTCCCTGCAGCAGGCTTCCTCTGACTGCGCCTCCCAGTCCAGGTCAAAGGTCAGTGAAGCTCAGTTCTTCCTGAAACCTCCTGCTAGGATGTGGCAGATTCGTTCAGAGACCAGAACCGGTTTTCTGAGGTCCAGATGTTTCAGTGATGCGTTTGAGTGCAGTGGGTGTTTTCGGCGTTGAGTGGCTCCGAGGTCCTTCAGGTGACCCGGGACAAGCAGAACCATCCTGATCCAGAATGTTCTCCATCCGGCCGAACCAAGAACTTCTCCTGGCTCTGCTGGTTTCTGTGGGTTTTCAGTTTGACCAGCAGAGGGCGCCAGTGCCTTCCTCTGCAACAGAACTTCTTTTCTGGGTCAAAAGATTCTGCAAACAGAATCAGAACAGGCTCGGTTCTGCTGGTGGCGTGTGGTTCTGTCAGTCTGGTTCTGCTCAGAACTCAGCAATCAGGTCCAACCTCAAACTTAGCAGAGAGGTTCTGAGAACCGGGTCGGGTCAGAACTGCAAGGAGGTTCTGGTGCCTCTGGAGTTATTTCTGCATCCAGCCAACAATATACCCTCCATCCCCTCCTCATCCCTCCATCCCCTCCTCATCCCTCCATCCTCTCCTCATCCCTCCATCCTCTCCTCATCCCTCCATCCTCTCCTCTCCTCATCCCTCCATCCTCTCCTCATCCCTCCATCCTCTCCTCATCCCTCCATCCTCTCCTCATCCCTCCATCCTCTCCTCTCCTCATCCCTCCATCCTCTCCTCTCCTCATCCCTCCATCCTCTCCTCTCCTCATCCCTCCATCCTCTCCTCATCCCTCCATCCTCTCCTCATCCCTCCATCCTCTCCTCATCCCTCCATCCTCTCCTCTCCTCATCCCTCCATCCTCTCCTCTCCTCATCCCTCCATCCTCTCCTCTCCTCATCCCTCCATCCTCTCCTCATCCCTCCATCCTCTCCTCATCCCTCCATCCTCTCCTCATCCCTCCATCCTCTCCTCTCCTCATCCCTCCATCCTCTCCTCTCCTCATCCCTCCATCCTCTCCTCTGCTCATCCCTCCATCCTCTCCTCTCCTCATCCCTCCATTCTCTCCTCATCTCTCCATCCTCTCCTCTCCTCATCCCTCCATCCTCTCCTCATCCTCCATCCCCTCCTCATCCCTCCATCCTCTCCTCTCCTCATCCCTCCATCCTCTCCTCTCCTCATCCCTCCATCCTCTCCTCATCCCTCCATCCCCTCCTCATCCCTCCATCCTCTCCTCATCCCTCCATCCTCTCCTCATCCCTCCATCCCCTCCTCATCCCTCCATCCTCTCCTCATCCCTCCATCCTCTCCTCTGCTCATCCCTCCATCTCCTCTCCTCATCCCTCCATCCTCTCCTCTCCTCATCCCTCCATCCTCTCCTCTCCTCATCCCTCCATCCTCTCCTCATCCCTCCATCCTCTCCTCATCCCTCCATTCTCTCCTCATCCCTCCATCCTCTCCTCTCCTCATCCCTCCATCCTCTCCTCATCCCTCCATCCTCTCCTCTCCTCATCCCTCCATCCTCTCCTCTCCTCATCCCTCCATCCTCTCCTCATCCCTCCATCCTCTCCTCATCCCTCCATCCTCTCCTCTCCTCATCCCTCCATCCTCTCCTCATCCCTCCATCCTCTCCTCTCCTCATCCCTCCATCCTCTCCTCATCCCTCCATTCTCTCCTCTCCTCATCCCTCCATTCTCTCCTCTGCTCATCCCTCCATCCCCTCCTCATCCCTCCATCCTCTCCTCTCCTCATCCCTCCATCCTCTCCTCTCCTCATCCCTCCATCCCCTCCTCATCCCTCCATCCTCTCCTCCTCATCCCTCCATCCTCTCCTCTCCTCATCCCTCCATCCTCTCCTCTCCTCATCCCTCCATTCTCTCCTCATCCCTCCATCCTCTCCTCATCCCTCCATTCTCTCCTCATCCCTCCATCCTCTCCTCTCCTCATCCCTCCATCCTCTCCTCTCCTCATCCCTCCATCCTCTCCTCATCCCTCCATCCTCCTCTCCTCATCCCTCCATCCTCTCCTCTCCTCATCCCTCCATCCTCTCCTCTCCTCATCCCTCCATCCTCTCCTCTCCTCATCCCTCCATTCTCTCCTCATCCCTCCATCCTCTCCTCATCCCTCCATCCTCTCCTCATCCCTCCATCCTCTCCTCTCCTCATCCCTCCATCCTCTCCTCTCCTCATCCCTCCATCCTCTCCTCATCCCTCCATCCTCTCCTCTCCTCATCCCTCCATCCTCTCCTCATCCCTCCATCCTCTCCTCATCCCTCCATCCTCTCCTCTGCTCATCCCTCCATCCTCTCCTCATCCCTCCATCCTCTCCTCTCCTCATCCCTCCATCCTCTCCTCATCCCTCCATTCTCTCCTCATCCCTCCATCCTCTCTCTCCTCATCCCTCCATCCTCTCCTCATCCCTCCATCCTCTCCTCATCCCTCCATTCTCTCCTCATCCCTCCATCCTCTCCTCATCCCTCCATCCTCTCCTCTCCTCATCCCTCCATCCTCTCCTCTCCTCATCCCTCCATCCTCTCCTCATCCCTCCATTCTCTCCTCATTCCTCCATCCTCTCCTCATCCCTCCATCCTCTGCTCTCCTCATCCCTCCATTCTCTCCTCATCCCTCCATCCTCTCTCTCCTCATCCCTCCATCCTCTCCTCATCCCTCCATCCTCTCCTCTCCTCATCCCTCCATTCTCTCCTCATCCCTCCATCCTCTCCTCATCCCTCCATCCTCTCCTCTCCTCATCCCTCCATCCTCTCCTCATCCCTCCATTCTCTCCTCATCCCTCCATTCTCTCCTCATCCCTCCATCCTCTCCTCTCCTCATCCCTCCATCCTCTCCTCTCCTCATCCCTCCATCCTCTCCTCTCCTCATCCCTCCATCCTCTCCTCTCCTCATCCCTCCATCCTCTCCTCATCCCTCCATCCTCTCCTCATCCCTCCATCCTCTCCTCCTCCAGGTTCGTCTCCTCAGTCACTCGGATCTGGATCTCTCGTCTTCTCGTCGTTTTGCTTCGTTGTCTTTCGGCCTGAGGAAGAGGAGGAGGAGGAAGGATGAAGAGGACCTCTCCAGGAGCGCCATCGGTCTCCATAGCAACCAGCAGGAGGTAGGACCGTGACCCGGTCTGATGGTTCCGGTCCATCCGAGCAGAACCTGGACTTTCTGAATAAATAGAAACGATTTTAAATAATGAGAAAGTTCTGGTTCTGAAGTTTTAATCCGAACCTCTCCCCAGAATCCCGTCTCCCGCCTGGATCTGGACCGGCCCGACCCGAAGTTCAGTTTGTCTCAACCCGAACTCCATACCAGCAGAACCTTTGACATCCCGTCTCCCCCGTCCTCCAACCGGACCGGACCGTTAACCAGAACCCGACCAGAACCGGAGGAGCTTCTCCCCAACAAAACCTCCAGAACTCTGATCCCCTCCAATCCGGAGTTTCCGGTTCCGACGGCCCGAACAGAATCCCCCGCTGTTCCCGGCCTCCGGTCCAATCAGGCAGAACCAGGTGCGGACCAGAACCAGAACCTCACCTCATCCGCTGCATCGGGAAACGGGGATGGTTCTGATGGTCCGAGTCCGGATCCAGAACCTCCCGGTACCTCCAGGCGGGACTTGGGTTCAACTCTGGACGGACCGGAACCTGAAGAAGCTTTAGCATTCTCTATGATCCCAAAACCGGAACCGAGCCGTTCCGAACCGAACCCGGCGGTACCAGCTGCAGGTTCTAATCCTGAACCCGACACGGCGGTACCGCCTGCCAGCCCTGGTTCCGGTTCGGGTCGGAATGCCGTGATCGGAACTGTCTATAACTGTCCTCGGTTCTCCGTCCCAGAACCAGAACCGCCAGGGGTCCAGAGCCCCCCTCCAGTGGCCCCCGGTCCCGGCGCAGGTTTTTCCGGTTCTGCTGAAACCAAACCCAGCCGTGTGATTCGGGTTCGGCCCGGTTCCCACAGCGCAGGCCCGGTTCCCGCCTCTCCGGTTACTGCAGCGTCTCCAGGGACGGACTCTCGGGTTTCCGAATCTGAGCCCAGGCTGGTTCCGGTCGGGCGGCCCATCGCAGCAGACTGCTTGCCTCCGCATCGCGGAATGAACGTTCAGAACTTCGAACCTCCCGAACCGGACCGGGCTCTGAATCCGGGCTACCTGAGCCTCGGTTCGGATGACGGCGCGGAGCTTTACTTCAGCGCCCCGGAGAGCGGAGAGGAGGCGGACCCGCGGGACGGCGGGGGGGAGGCTGAGAGCCCCAGAGGTCAGAGGTCAGAGGAGAAAGCAGAAACCGCCTCGGCACAGGTGAGAGTGTGGGAGGAGCCCGCGCCACCGGTTCCGCAGGTAAACAGGCTGCAGGAATGCGGGTTGGCCCCGCCCGCCGCTGCTGCCCCGGCGGAGAGAATCCAGGCCGCAGAAACCCAGGATCCCGCTCAGAAAGCCCCGAACCTGCCGAGACCGGTTCTGGTTTCGGACCCCAGGAGAACCGAGGAAACCCGAGAGGAGGAGGAAGAGGAGCGCACCTTCACGCCTCCTGCAGCGGGAGGGACGCCTGACGCCGCCGCCAGCCGTCCCGAGGGGGCGGGGACCAGGACGCGCCGCGTCAACGAAACCGCTGAGACGCAGCGACAGGTGCCAGACCTGAAGTCGGCTCTGGACGCACGCAGGCCGCCCGGCGACCCGCATCCAGTCCGCGCCGCGGCTCACCTGGACCGCAGGTGAGTCCGATCCATTCAGCAGAACCGAGACTGTTAGGATCTGAACATCCCGGCCGGTTCTGTCAACCGGCGGGAAATCACCTAAACCTGAGCAGCTTATTGGCAGCTGAAACATTAAACTGCTGAAACCCGAACATGAGGTTCTGGTGTCGGCTCGGTCTGAGGAATCTGCTTTGGGTTCTGGGTTTACTGATGGTTCCTTTGGAAAATGCGGTTCTGATCCGAGATTCGGGCTGCAGGATGATTCTTCCCTTAAAAGTGAAATCATTCCAAAGCAAAATGTTTGTTTAGTTTCTGGATGTCCAGGTTCTGCTGCAGCTGATCCACACAGATTGGACTTTTTCTGCCTGAAGCGGTTCTGATGATCAATGGCCGGTGAAACGTTTCTCCATCATTTCGATGGAAAGTTGTGGGTTTTTCTGGAGGAGATGCGGCGCTGAAGGCCCAGATCAGCTGGTTCCTCTGCAGATGGAAGAACCTTTACAGTTTGACCTGCGTGCTGGTTCCGGGTCGGTTCCGTCTTTCGGACCGTGCTTCAGGATGAGGAGCGTCTTAAAGACCTCATGGCTGCAGCTGTTCTGCGTGATCCGCTCATACCTGCAGCTCATTTGCATGTAGTCTGGAGTCAAAGGAAGGAATGCGGCTCCAGGCGGCAGCTGTCAGGGCGACGCGCTGGTTCCCTCAGAGCCGAGTCCGCTGAGCCCGAGTCCGCTGAGCCCGAGTCCGCTGAGCCCCAGTCCGCTGAGCCCCAGTCCGCTGCGCCACCTACCTAAATGTCTCTGTTCTGGGCCTGAAACTGAAAGCCAGCAGGCGGGAGGAATCATTAACCGTCCATAAAATTCCAATAAATCAGTGAAACGTCATGAAATGCCCTGAGGCTCCAGCGGTCCGGTTGATCCGCTCTGATGATTCCATAAAGCCTGAGTTCTGGGAGACATTTTGTTCATTGAATCAACAGAGCGAGACGAGTCAGGCAGGGGACGGGATGTTCCTGGTGCAGTTAGAGGGGCGCCGCGTTAGAGGGGCGCCGCGTTAGAGGGGCGCCGCGTTAGTGGGGCGCCGCGTTAGAGGGGCGCCGCGTTAGAGGGGCCCGCGTTAGTGGGGCGCCGCGTTAGTGGGGCGCCGCGTTAGAGGGGCGCCGCGTTAGAGGGGCGCCGCGTTAGAGGGGCGCCGCGTTAGTGGGGCGCCGCGTTAGAGGGGCGCCGCGTTAGAGGGGCGCCGCGTTAGAGGGGCGCCGCGTTAGAGGGGCGCCGCGTTAGAGGGGCGCCGCGTTAGAGGGGCGCCGCGTTAGAGGGGCGCCGCGTTAGAGGGGCGCCGCGTTAGAGGGCGCCAGAACAGAAGCATCAAAGTGACTGCGAGTCAGCAGAGAAACGTGTCAGGAAGCACAAAGCTGCACCTCTGGAAAGAATCTGAATTGATTTCTGGCTCTGTCACCCCTAATCTTCACATTTTGAAGATTTAGTTTGGAAAAGTTTTGTCCACCTTACCTTTGACCTCAGGTCAAGTCTACAAATATTGGCCAGACTACGAGTTTACTGTTTGAATTATGGCAATAAAGATATAATATTAGGAGAATAAGGTCGTTATATTGCCAGGAGAAAATCATATTTTATGAGGACTTGAATACAAAATATAGAAAATTGAAATGAGGAATTATGAGCATCTTGTTCATTTATGCTTTAGTATGAGTTTTACACATAATGCTTAATATTCATAGAAATAATTCATATTTTAACAGCATCACATTATCAAAGACTTTAAAACAATCATGCAAACGACGAGTGAGAAATAATCAACACTATTTGATGGTGTTTGCAATAGACTGACATGACGAGTCTTTATGAATCTCGGATAAAAATATTCCACGCAAATATTATTTTCTAAATAAGGACACTTTGATGCAAAGTGGGCATTTTTAATGGCAACTTGTAGAGCAGCTTTGCATTAACAGTCATTACTTCCTGAATGACATGAAAACTCCTTCATGTTCATGTCATTTTACAGCCCGTCAAATAAAGTTTTACCAAAACAAACAGCTGCTCAGTCAGAGCTTTAGAAATCTGTCAAAGCTTTTTCTCGTGATTTAAAGATATTTCTCTTTTCTGGTAAACTTGTGTTTTTGTTCTCCTAAAATTACTTTATTCTCGTAACTAAGCAAAGGTTCTGGCAGAAAGTTCCCCCCTGAAACGAGACAAAATGGACGACTGCAATAAAAGTCATCATCTGATTTTTAGAAAAATGAGGGGGAAATGGATTGAAATCAAAAACAGTTATATTTTATTTTTAAGTTGTATTGCCAAACCTTACTTGTGACTAAAAAACAAAACTAATGTGAAATAATTCAGCATTTGACTTTGACTTCTGAACATCACCAAATGCTGCCACTAGATGGCAGCATTTGGTGATGTTCAGACCGTTCAGAAAGTCCTTGTGGCTGTTTCTGTTTGGACCAGAACCGATGTTCTGGTCCAGAATCCTCAGCCTCTGACCTTCCACCCCGTCAAGGCTCCTCACACCTGAAACAACAGCTTCATGCTTCAGCTGCCTGGATGACAAGAAGGTATTCAGAGCCACACCTGGTCCACATTCCTCCTCACTGCAGGAGCCCCAGACAGGATCCTTCATCCTCCAAACCCGCTACACTGAAAGCGTCACAGAAGTTCTGGACATAAGATCGCTCCGTTTGGGTCGGCTTCATGCGGCTGAAGGAGTTTCTCCACTTCTCCATCAGCTGCTGGCTTCATGGTGAAACGTCTCCAGTCCTCCAGATCAGCAGGATCAAGAAACCTTTTCTGATTCAGAAGACGATTAACCGGATCAATCGATCCAGAATCCATCCAGTGTCCCTGAAACAACTCGCCCTCATCCCTAGCGGGGTCAGGAGGTGCAGCTGCTCCCTCGGGCAAACATTCAGGGCGAGAGGTGGGGTCACCTGGACAGGTCGCGTGGATGGGAATCAAACTCACAACCTTCTGGCTGCAAGGCAACACAGCACCAACTGCACCACTGTGCAGCCACAATTTCCAATCAGTTTGGTGATTGATTAATCATTACCTGGAGAATACAGACAGAAGAGAATCAGAACTGTAATAAATGAATCATTTCAGATGAAAACCTGTCGGTTCGACCCAGAGCTCCTCAGGTTGCACTTTTAGCCTCACCTGGTTCAGAAGAAAATCTATTCAATACATTTTGCTCTCCAGTTATCAGTTAATCCAATAAATAATCCCAGATCAGCTGTGCAGTGATGCTGAGTGGAGCAGAAAGGCCTTCGCTCATGTTTGTACTGCAGATGATCCACTGAAGGATCATCTGATTGTCTTTTCTTTCATCTTTTAATGTACTTCTGGTATTGTACATAAAAACTTTATTACAAGAAAAATCTGCAGAATGCCCAAAATTTTAAAAATCCAATTAATCAATTAATGGCCAGAATAATTGATTAAGCCAGGCTGAAAACGGAAAAAAGCGTTGATGATATTTTGTGATCAGAACCAACAGGAAGTAGAACCTCCTTCTGCGTCACAGTGGAGGAACAAACTCCTGCTTGTTCAGCTTTCTGAAGAGGTCGTGACCTTTAACCTTTAACTGAGACTGAGATGGGGTTTCACCTGTTCAGAAAGGCGGTTCTGTTGGGAAAGAACCTGGACCGTTTGAGATCAACTCCTGCTTGGTTCTGGATTTCCCCCCCAAAAAAACCTAGAAATCAGATTTTTACTAATATTTTAATTTAATGTGTTTTCAGTCATTTTTTAAGTTCTCATTTGGGTCAGAACCGCCGGTTCCTGCAGCTCGGTAATTTATTTAGAGATTCATTTGTTTTTCCAGAAGTTCTGAATCAGAACATTTGGACCCAACTCAAACTAAACAATGTTGGTTCTGCTAGAGAAATGAAACCTGATGAGACAGAACAGATCCAGTCTGAGCTCCGGCTCTGGTCCGGTTCTGTTCGGGTTCTTCTTGAGGTCCATGGTTGCTCAAAGCTTCCCGGTTCTGGCAGCTGACTGAGTTTTGCTTATTTAAGCAATCCTCCCAGCTGCCTCTCCCTGCTGGTTCTGTTCCTCGGACCGGGTCAGAATGCAGAACCCGAGCCTGATAGGAACGGTTCTGAATGGGGAACTCTGGACTGGTCCCTGAGTCTGATCATGTGACCACTGTGTCATCACTTCCTTTCTCTCTGTGTCCCTCCAGCTGCCAGCCTCCAGAACCAGAACCAGAACCAGATGACAGGATGAGTTCAGGCTTCAGCAGCCTGACCACCAAGCTGGCCCTGAAGAACCCGTCTCCTCCCAGAGAGGAGGAACCCAAAGCCCGCTTCCTCAAAGTGTCCCTGGTTAACATGGAAACCAGCAGCACGCCGGAACCAGACGATCCGGAACCAGACGATCCAGAACCAGACGATCCGGAACCAGACGATCCGGAACCAGAGTACAGGTGGAAGAACCGTTTTCAGGGCGTGACCCAGTTTCCATCCAGCAGGTCCCCTCTCCCTGCAGATGATGAACCTTCGTCACACTTCAGCTCCTCAGACAGCTCTGTGTACCTGAGCCCCGCTGGAGGCGGGGCGTGGAGGCGGAGCCTCCTGGGGGAGGGGGAGGAGTCAGCTGCTCCTGCAGGTGAAGAGGACGAGCTGCTGAAAGAGGAGACAGAGTGGAGGAAGCCGAGGTGGCAGCTGGAGCCGCTCATCGAAGACGACGACTCCTTCTTCACCGGAGTCTTCAAGGCCACCCTGGTGGACCTGACCCCCGACCCCCTGACCTCTCCTGACTCCCCAACGTCCCCCGACGTAGACTCCCCCGTCAACGACATGGAGAGCCTGGTGGACACCCTGAGGAGCATGGGGCCCTCTCAGAGGCCCCGGAGTACCGGCGTCAGAGCAGCTCCTCCTCCACTGGTCTCCACCCTGTCCCCCATCAGAGAGGACACAGGGAACCCCATCATCTCCACCCTGTCCCCCATCAGAGAGGACACAGGGAACCCCATCATCTCCACCCTGTCCCCCATCAGAGAGGACACAGGGAACCCCATCATCTCCACCCTGTCCCCCATCAGAGAGGACATGGGCAGTCCCTTTGTCCGTAGCACCCCCCAGAGGACAGAGGAGCCCCAGAACCAGCTGTACACCCTGCCTCTGGACCTGGGCCTGAAGAGGAACATCTCCAGAGACCCCCGCTCTCCAATGGAGCTGATGAAGAGCCAGGTACGCCTTACTCTCTGTCAAACTCCATCTGCTCAGTTTATCCAGCTGAGGCTCATTTCTGATGCTCTCATCTGGTTCTGTGGAACATATCCGAGCTTTGACTTTACAACCTGTCTTTTGCGTGGGGTACCTCAGGGCTCCATATTAGGCCCTTTACTTTTCTAAGTGCATATGTTGCAGTTGGAATCTAATAGAAACTTCCACAATAATAAATTTCATTGTTATGCAACCAACCTACCAATAAGCCCAGGATGCAGTAAGCTCCTGCTTTCTCTCCTTATTTCCATCCTTGCAAACAAACAGTGGTAGAACCAGGACTTTCTGTTCCTAATGACCAAAGAACAGAGTAGATCCTGTCTGTCGATAAAGCTGCTACTGGTCTGGGAAATTTGACTACTGCTATAGTGACCACGTGAAAAACCTTTAGTTGGCTTTGACAGTCAAATTGCATCGGTTGTCCAATCTGAAATTTTGTCTTCTTCTAAGGAAGGTTAAGCCTTTCTTAAATCATTGGGACTTTGCAAAAGCTGTTAATGATTTTATTATGTTGGTGTACCCCAGACATCTTTGAACCGCCTCCAACTTGTGCAGAATGCAGTGGTTTGCCTTTCAACCAACACTCAGACCAGACCACATTACATCTGTCTTGGCGTCTTTACATTGGCTTCTTGTTTGTTTCAGAATAGATTTTAAGCTCTGATTTGCTTTTAAAGCCCTTTCAGGCTTTGCTCCTTCTCATTTTTTAGTCACAGAGCTTTTCATCCGCATGTAGTCTCTGAGCACTGATAATCATTTCCCTACTTAGTGTTCCACGTACTAAATGCAAAAGTTGGGGCGATCGCACTTTCTCCTTAGCAGCACCTTGACTGGGGTACCAGAAGACCTCTGACCTAATCTTTGATAAAATGATTGAAACTGATCTGGATTTCTGCTCTAAAACTCAGGAACTTTAGGTCAACGGCGGTCAGAGTCCGGAGGTAAATGTTGAGACTGGTTCCGATCTGATCTCAGACTTTGTCTTCTTCCTTCCCCAGGACCTGACTTCCTCGCTGCACAACGGGAACGGCGCTCCTTCGTCTCCCACCTCCGGCTCCCGCCTCGACAACAGTGTTCTTTTCGGCTCTTACCGCTCCTCAAACCCGGACCTGAAGCTGGAAAATGGGACCGCCCATCGGCCGCGGTTCAGCTCCCTGCCAGACACAGGAACCCTGGGAATGAGACTGAGGGAGACTAGTGAGGCGGGGCCTGTTGGGGAGGCAGCGGGGTCCCGTCTGGAGCGCCTTTCCTTCCTCGTCAACTCTTCATCCCTGAACGGTGACGCCGGCCCCTCCAGGATCAGCCGATCGCCCTCCTTGATACTGGGTTCCCCCACCTCCAACAGCCCCACCCATTTGCTCAGCCCCACCGGCTCTATTGACCCTCACTGGGCCCCCACCATCTCAGAGCCCCAACTGTTCAGCCAAGGGCCCGGGGTCCTACAGAGGAGCCTCAGCTATGAAGGGCTATCACAGGCAACCCTGTTCAGCAGTTTGTCTGGAGGGCCACAGTTCAGCAGTTTGTCTGGAGGGCCACAGTTCAGCAGCGTTCAGGCAGGGTCCCAATTCAACAGCAGAGGGTCCCTGCTCCAGAACCAGCAAGATGAACCAGACAGCAACCAGATGTCCAAGTATAGAGCCTTCCCAGATGCCTATGTGAGTACTGCAGCATGAGTGAATGTGAATTATTGGCCTGCACATTAAAGTTAGAAGCAGGTGAAGCCTCTCTCTGCTTCAGGTTTCAGTGAATTTCCAAAGCGCAATCGTTTCAGTCTGCAGGTTAAAGCGTCCCTCAGCTCTTCACATCACCACTAAGTGGGATGGGATCAAGTCCATCGTTGGGTGTAAACAGTTTGTTCCCGTCTGTGTTTATGACACAATTATGGATATTCTGTTGTGTTAAACAGAAATATAAAAACAGGTTCCAGAAACGGCTGCAGCTTGATCCAAACGTCTTCTTCGCTCCGAGCAACTCAGACGTAGTTAGGCAGCTGAAGGTGTGTCTGCGTGTGGCGCACACGTCTGCACACGTCCTGCTGCGTCCGTCTGGGGCCAGGAAGGAACCTTCTGATCCAAAAATCATTTAATGATTTCCCAACCTGATTGGATATGTGTAGCTTCACTGCAACACAAAGCTGAGCAGAACCTGCTCTCGGGTCAGATTAAAACTGGCCTGCAGTTGGACTCAGACAGGAAGGAGGTTCTGCTCCATGGTCGATGATGATCTGTTCATAAAGCAGCATATTGCTGTAAAACTCTGTCAAGTCCCCAAACAAGCATACAAATTCAGGCTTTTCATATTTCCCATCAGCCACTTGAACTTCAGGATGACAGCCACTTTTAACGATGGCTGACCTTTTTGAGCCTTTGACTCAATTATTGCCATAAAATGTCACCTATTTTCATAATTTAGATTAACTTTATATCATATTATGTTTCCCTGCTTTGGACGTCCTGTTCATACAACTTTAAAGTGATAATATGTAGCAAAATCAGAAACGAAAGACTTTTTCCGTGAGTCTCTCCACAGTCGTCAACTGGAAGGACGTGAAGTCGTGTGTCTTAATGGTTAGCGTTAGCTTCCACCAACTTTTTTATGCATTTAGTGCTTTAGCATTAGCTTCTGCTATTTTTCTATGCAATTAGAAAAATAATCACATCCTTGAGACTGGGAACCAGTGTGGGTTCCCAGTCACATTCATTTTTTAATGTGTTCTGATAATTTATTTAATGCGCCTTGCGTTAGCTTCCAGTAATTTTTATGTTCAGCAGTGTATTGTTGGCTTCCGCTAATTTGGCATGAAGCAAACCTTTTGGGTCGCTGTGCCCTTCACCATGTCAAACATATATTCACCTTTATAACCATGGTGGCCATTTTGAACAATGCCCACCAGAAGAAAAAAAACTCTGTGGTTGAAAATATGCAGGCTATAATTTGACATTCATCTAATTTGTGATTTCAGAGCAAAAATTAATTTTCCAAAACAACTCTAGTCGGCATGTAAAATGTAAATATGGTTCCTATGGGTCCAATTGTACATAATTTGATACCCAAAGTATTCATCAGTAATAAATGTTTGCAAATGTAGAGAAGAAGTAAATTCTTCTTGTGGACCATCTTGAACTTTTCAGTGACGTTTTTTGTTTAAAAACAAAAATCAAACGCTGTGGGAATGTCTGTGCCACGTTGGGTTCTTGTCTGCACATGTGAAAGACTTTGCTGAAATATTCAATTATCTGCACTCTATTAAATGAAAACACTGGGATGTTGCAGCGAGATCAGCTTTATGGCCGTTATCAGAATGTAAAGCAGCTGTTGGGATCCTGCAGAGCGTTTCGTGCTTCAGATCTAGATAAATATTGTCAGAGTCGTCCACACCCGCAGCAGCTATCTGCCTGATCCTGCAGAGACGCAGCCGCGCCTCTCCTTCGCATTCATCCTCTGTTCTGCTTGACGAGTTGAAAAATGAAGTGACAGGGAGAGAATTCCTCTGGAACCATGAGTCTTCATCACACCTCCATCCGCCTGGTTCTGCTGAAGCAGCTCTTTCTCTGGCCGCAGGCAGGAATGGTGCAGCTTCGCTATGCTGGTTTCAGCTCTGAAGCTGCTGAGCCGATCCTCTAGATCAGATCCAGAAGCAGGTTGTGTAGTTTGGGTCCTGACGAGCGAGCCATGAGACCCAGGAATGTGGAGGAAACTGCTCCATGGTCTGACCGTCTGTCAGTCAGCAGCTGAGATCCGGTTGTTATACCAACATCAGCAGGTTGATTCTGATGGCCGGCTCAGTCCAGGAAGCAGCTTTACAGCTCACTTCCTGCCGCCACGTCATGCATGGACAGAAACGTGTTGAACATGAAACCACAGGAACCTCGGAGGGTGACAGATGAAAACATCTCAGCCTCTGCAGATTAATCCAGATGAAGTCAGAGCAGCGAGAGTTGAAACGGGAGCCAGGCCTCCGCGGTCTGAAACCTGATCCCATTGACCGGACCGTCTCACCTGAACAAACCGGACCCAGAAACACGCCTGCTGCTCCAGCTGAGCCTTAGGAACCTTCTTCCAGGCTCAGGCGGTTCAGATCAAACTGATGATGATGATTGATCCTGAAATGTTTCTGTTTGTCTGCAGCTCACCAAGGAGAAGGAGCACGGGAAGCTGAACCCACGACCAGGAAAGGTGAGTTCCACCAGTTAGTCCAAATGGTTAAACTGGTCCCAGAACAATAAAATGGTAAAGCTGATTGACAGGAAGAAAGTCAGTGGAAGGAAGACCTTCTCTATCCTATTCAGACTTTACCCAGAAGATGAATATGTTTCATGCCCAACAGGAGACAATCTGCAACCAGTTCAGGTTCTTTGTCCAGTCCAGAACATCCAACTGGGTTCAACCATTTAGCTGGTGGTCTAGTTAAAGACCTTACCTCATTATGCCTTGAGTTTGTGCAGAACCACTGGCAGTTGAGCAGGCCCACAGTATGATGCTGCCACCACCATGCTCCACAGCTGGCGCGGTGTAGTTAAAGGAGCAGAGTGAGCTCCTCATCTCCTCTGGACGCTGCAGAAGTTTATCTGAATCTCTGGATGATTTATGGCTCTGTTCTTAATTTATGACCCAGACTATTGCAATAACGTCTGGAAACGTGGAATAAACTCGACCAAAGGCCAATCCTGATTAGAAGACAAGATGGCTGCTTCGCAGATTCTGACTCCAGAAAACCTCCAAATGAAAACTATTAAATGTTTCCCCTGCAGGCCTTTAGCTTCAGCCAGGAGGGAGACTTTCCCACATGGTAGAGGTGTTGGGAAGGGGGGTGGGTCTTCATCAGAAGAACTGGTTCAACCAAATCATCTTCAGCTGAAAACCGCAGCTCTCGCAGAGCCGGGACCTGTTTCTGTTATTAAAGCATCAGGCCTGAACATGCTGCTGCCGCTGCGACGCAGGCTGCTGCAGATGAACACCAGCACAGCAGTTTCCCACCGAGTCACTTTAACTGAACTTGCTGCTGAACATTCAGCTGCAGGACGATGATCCAAGGAATACCAGCAAGTCTGCCTTTAAATATAGGAAAAATAAAGGCTCTGGAGTGGCCTAGTTAAAGTCAGAACCTAAATCTGACTGAGACGCTGACCTTCAACTCTCCAATGTGCTTGAATTAAATCAATTCAGTAATGCAGACCAGGTCAAAGGTCATCCAGGGTGATGTTAGAGAATCATTACCAGTTATCAGCAGCGGGTCGGAGATGAATACTTTTCAGGTTCTTCTTGTTTGATATTAAAGTTTCTGACTTTTCCCAGCGATGATGGGTCTCATAATGCCATATCTGGAATGTCAATGTCTTCCAAATGACCTCTGACCTGTGCTCCTCTCAATAGATTTACATCTTTGACCGGCCGGGAATGTGCGGCCGCAGGATGGAGATCCGCGGAGACGTCATGGACGCCACGTCCTGGGAGCTGCAGGACACCATCTCCGTCAGGGTGGTGCGAGGAGGGTGAGCCGCCGCGCCTGGGTCCAAACGGGACCAAACATGTCTGACATGGTCCAGACGTAGAGACATTTATTAAACTTGATTTCTTTCACAGAAATAATTTTTGATTGATTCAGTCTTGGATGAAAAGGCTCTGCGTTGGTTCAGGCTTAGGGGGATGAAACTGAGGAGATTTGATAATTTCTCAGATTTTACTCGAACATCTCTTGGTCCTGAATCTATAATATTAATCGATAACATTAATCGATAACATTAATCAATAACATTCTGTCATATCCAGGTCGGGTCCAGGTCGGTATGGTGTCTGGTAATCCCAGTTGGTTCAGACAGTTTATCTGGAAGATCAGGTTGACGCTCATAAAGATGATGATCGGCTATAATTAAATGCCATCAAGCTGCTCGTCTTCCTCGTTCCGGCGCCTCGTTTGGCTCCTGATTCACAAAATTTGTGGCGTGTAAACATGGAGGACACGCCACGCCCCGTTTCTCCTGAACCGTGGGTGTGGAGCCAGCAGGTGGGGATTGTTCAATCCAACCCGACCTGCCACGCTTCATTTTTACTCCGCCGGTTCACAGCTGATTCCTCGTTGATCCTGGAGTGACAACCGACATGTTAACCTTTGACCTCAGACATGCAGCACGTTCTAACAGCTGGCTGCTGTCCTGCAGGTGGGTTCTCTATGAAAAACCCAACTTTAAAGGGGGGAAGATCGCCCTGGACGAGGGAGACATGGAGCTCACCTGTCCCTTCAGCCCACCTGAGAAAGCGCTGCAGAATGGACAGGAAGAGGAGAAGAAGAACGGAGAAACAGAGGAGCAGAGCCAGGAGAAACCGACCCAGAAGTTCATCATCGGATCGATTCGCAGAGCGGTCAGGGTGAGACGGATTTACTTCTCCTTTCAACACAGACATGGAAGGGTGATGCTGACATAGAGCGCCATCTGCTGGTCATCAGGCTAAAGCTGAGCAGGTGTCTGGAACGTCTTCCTTTCAGACCTGTGAGTTGAGCAGCAGGGAGATTTTATTTCCGTTTGTCCTCCTGCCGTCAGTCTGAGCTGCAGATTATCTTCATCCTTCAGTTGAAACAGAGGAAGAGTCGGAGGAAGAGTCGGTCTGTGAGCTTCTGGCCTGATAACTCCAGTTATTCCAGGAGCAGAACATCAGAGCTGATCAAGGCTGACATGTTCTAGCACCATCTAGTGGCCGCATGGAGAACCTGCAGATCAATATGGCTGCATCAACATGCAAGAGGATTAGTTTTATTCCACATGGACTAAAAATAATTATTTTAATATCAGAATGGGGAAACAATTTGAAAGCAGTCTTCATCAACCCAGTTCTACTAGAAGCTTCTCAGACATTTTCCTACCTGTAGCTCCTGGCTTACACTCGCCGTCTTCTCTGACCTCTATCAGACTCTGTTCATCTTCTCTAACCTCTGCGGGATGTTCGGTGACCTCTGTGGGATCGTCTCCCTGTGTCTCCTCAGGACTACAGCGTTCCAGAGATCTGTCTCTTCCCAGAGGAGAACGCAGAGGGAAAGAAGGTGGTTTTCAGGGACACAGCGGAGGATGCCAGGATCTTCGGGTTTCCCATCAAAGCCAACTCCATCATCGTGAACGCCGGGCTGTGAGTGAACCGCCCTGAGAGGACAGTTGGGTTTCTGTCTTGTTCTGACCCAGATGTTGTTCCACTCCTCAGCTGGCTGGTCTTCGCTCAGCCCTTCTTCCAGGGCGACCCCCGCATCCTGGAGGTGGGGGGCTACTCTAACCCTGCGGCCTGGGGAGTGGAGCAGCCCTACGTGGCCTCAGTGCATCCCCTCAAAGTGGTGAGTACTCCTGCTGAAGCCCGGCCTTGTGCTGCTAACGGTGATAACCTGAGCTCGGTTCTGTGACAGGGAGAACCTCGGGTGGAGAACATGGGGGAACCCAAGGTGAGAACCTGCAGCAGCGTCTGGTTAGATCCTGCAGTTTCCAGCAAGCTGGCATCCTGACTGTTCGTCGGTCCCCCTCTGTCCTCAGATGGTGATCTACGAGAAGCCATACTTCTCTGGGAAGTCCAGGACCATCTCCTCCAACATGAGGGACTTCTTGAGCCGGACGGACCGCCAGCAGACCCTCTTCATGGCCAGCCTGGGCTCTCTGAAGGTCCTGGGAGGAATGTGAGTGAAACGCTAATGGAACGTGGTAAGATCTGACTCCAGACCAGTCTGACCATCTCCATCTGCCTCTGCCGCTCCAGCTGGGTGGGATACGAGAAGGAGGGTTTCCGCGGTCACCAGTACCTGCTGGAGGAGGGCGAGTACCACGACTGGAGGGTGTGGGGGGGCTGCGACTCCGAGCTGCGCTCCGTCAGGGTCATCCGGGCGGTAGGTCCACGTTTACCATATCGACATTACGGATGCAAGTTATTGACAAATGAGCTCATCTAAAGTTGATGGATCTTAGCAGTCAACCAATGACTAACTGGTCAACCAGTGATCATATCCTTCAATTTTAACTGAATTTTGTGGGAACTGTATTAAATAGTGACTGAATAAACAGAAAATTGTAAAAAAAATTTTCACGTGATTAAACTTTGACTTATTTAAAATATAGCAACACGAACCTCTTGAGTTGCTGAGTAGAAGTATAAAAAGGATAAAATCATTTTACTGCCAGTAGTTGATCTTGAATTCAAACTTTTCTCCATGAAGAGCATTAAAAATCATTTTCCATTCCTCTTTTCTTTCCCCTTCTGATGTAGCCGCCATCTTTGTTTCTGTATTAACTGGCTCAGCTTTAGAATGGCCAGCAGCTCCTCCTGCTGGATGGAGGCCAAATTACAACACTGAGGAAAAGCGTATAAGCAGACATTATTATTTGGTTGGAACTGATTAGTAGTTGATTATTGGTTTGTAGTATAAAAAACAACAAAACATGATTGCATGATTGCTTGCATCCCTGATTTCCAGATGGTCGGCCATCTTAACGTCTGTGTAGGAGGAGCTGCTCAGAATCCTCTTTCTGTTTCCAGGACCTGGCGGACCCGGTGATGGTGATGTTCGAGCAGCCTGAGGAGGAGCAGGGTGTGACGGAGGAGAAGACCTTTGAGGTGACGGAGGCCATCCCTGACGTAGAGCTCTTCGACTATAAAACCTCCACCCGCTCCATCCACGTTCTCAGCGGAGCGTAGGTTCTTCTTCTGCAGCTCCAGGCACCGAACTCGGCCGTCACCTGACTCGCCTGACTCTCTGACCCCCCAGGTGGATCGCCTACTCCCATGTGGACTTCTCAGGGAACCAATACATCCTGGAGAAAGGCTTCTACAACAACTGTGCTGACTGGGGCTCCCAGGACACCCGGGTCTGCTCGGTCCAGCCCATCTTACCGGTGAGAACCAGTCTAGCGAACCGGGTCATTCACAGCACCGCTGGTTTCACTCTTATGTCGTTGTGTTTCAGGCTCCAGCTGAAACCTCCGGCCCCAGAGACGAGGTGAGTGGTGGACGACATCCATATTCGGATCAGAACCGGGATGAGTCGCGTGTTTCTGGCAGTTTTATCTCCATTTCACAAATGGATTGGTGTTAAAACACATATTGGGAAGTAAATAAACTAAATATGTAGTTTCAATCTAAATATTTAGTGAGCAAGCTAATAACAGCTAAATATTAAATTTACAAACTAATTTAGCTCCAATGTAAATATTGGAGATTGTAAAGTAAAAATTTAGTTTGGAGCTAAATATTTAGTTAGTAAGTTGATTATCTGGGCTCAAACTACATATTTAATTTTCAAGCTAAATATGTAGTCCTAAACGACATCTTGAATCAGCTGAGAGCTAAATATTCCGCTAAAATGTAAATTCACGGATAAGTGGAAGTGGACTACCAAAACAAAAGCTGTTTTCTGGAAACTCGCTGTAAAGTTAGACTGCTCTATGCGACCAACTTCCTCAGTTCAAATATAAAAAGCTGGAACTTTCCTTTATGAAAATATTAACAAACTAAACTACACATTTTCAACACAAACAATCCTTAAAATCCTGATTTATTCGATATTTTAGCGTTTGGGCAAATCTGCTCCTTTTTGTAGCAACTTTCTGCTTCTGCACTTTCAGACTCTACAGGATCTAATCGATTCTTCTCTCCTGCAGATCATCCTCTACTCTGAACCAGACTTCCAAGGCGAACGCCTCGTCTTTCACCACAGCCAGGGGGCGCTGTCAGAGAAATTCCTCACCAGGTCGTGTCGAGTGGTGAGAGGAAGGTGAGAAAGACAGCAGTTAACCGAGTATGGAGCTCAGGTTCATCCCAGAGAATGAACCAGGAAAGCTGAAATTACATTTCAATAGACTAATTAATCTAAAGAGTGAACAGCTGTAGACTCAGTGTTTTCCTCTTAAAGGGCCAGTATCATAATCTTTCAATTATTCCCTCATCAAAAACAAACTCACTAAGCTCCTTTAGACTAGCCAGCATCATTTAGCAAACACCTGCTGAGCTCATTATAGGAGCTGCTGCTCAGAGTGACGCTGGTAAAACGTTGAAGGGTTAATAGAGGAGACTTCCTGAAGGCGGAGCTTCAGAAAGAGCAAAAGCTCTTAAAGAGACAGATGCCCAATTAAATTACAAATTTACTTTGTAATTAAACAAAGTTCAATCAATATACAGCAATTTTATAACAACTGAATTTAACATGGTTGAATGTGCTGCTACCCACGTGACCCGACGATGTGCTGTAAAATGGCACCACGTGCCTGGAAAACACAATCCTGGCCTTTAAAGTTCCCATTGACTGACAGTCAGTGGGAAAAGCATTAAGGTGTCTCTCTGTCTTCCAGCTGGGTCCTCTGTGAGAACAAGCAGTTCTCTGGGAACATGTATGTCCTATCTGAGGAGGACTATCCCAGTCTTACCAGTATGGGCTGCCCCTCCAGCTGCTCCGTGCTCTCCATCAAGCTGGTGCCGATGGTGAGGAGGGCCTCCTGGTTAGAGTCCAGCGCTCGTCCCGGTAACGTCCTGGTAACGTCCCCCTGTGTGTGCAGACGCTGTCGGTGCCGTCCGTGTCTCTGTTTGGACTTGAAGGTCTGGAGGGCCGGGAGATCACCACCGAGTCGGAGGTCACCAGTCTGACCCAGGACGGGTTCAACAACCACATCCTGTCGGTCCGGGTCAACAGCGGCTGGTCAGTGTGCTGCAGTGTGTGAGTGCGATGCAGTGTGTGGGTCATGCAGATCTAACTGGGGCTCTTTTTGTTGTGTAGTTGGGTTTTGTGTGAGCATAGCAACTACAGGGGGCGCCAGTTCCTCCTGGAGCCGATAGAAATCACTAATTGGCCCAAGTTCAGCTCCCTGGACCGGATCGGGTCCATGTACCCCATCAGACAGGTCAGCCCACCTCACCTCACTTCGCTTTTCATTTCTAAAAACCGCTTTGATCAAACTGGAGAAAAGTCTCTGCTTTTCACTAACAAACTGAATTTTTCACAAATAATCCATCATTAAACCCAACTTAACTCGCGTCTTATGGCAGTTTTAACATAAAACGACCTTCACCACACTTACATTCCGGATATCTGATACGGGTTTATCTTTAGACGCATTAGTAAATTAAACCTGAATACAATCTGATTGGTATAAATGACATCAGATTTACCATTAAGTTTTACTGGGGCTATAAGTCAAGACATCTACAATAAATGACTAACTGAAACATATATTTCAGATAACAATTATTAAATTATGATTAGTCATAAAGTACATTTAAGATGACTTGCTTTTTGTTCTGGCTATTCATGATTCCAATTCTAAATATCCTGAATGTCTTTTCAGACACAATGTCTACAAAATTCATTTGGTGCAAATTAAATTGCACCAAATCAAATAATGTCAGTCAGATATTTTCAATTCCTATGAAGGATAGTCAAAATGTACTTGTCATTATTAAATATCTGGAATGTAATTACAGATAACCAGACAGAACACATTTCATGTTAAATCAGTTTGCCATACCTCGTACCTGCGTGTGTTCCTCCTGCAGAAGCGTCACTTTTTCCGGGTGAAGAACAAGGAGAGCGGTCACTTCCTGTCGGTGCAAGGCGGCGTGGAGGAGCTGAAGTCAGGTCGGGTGGTGGCGGCGGCGGAGGTGGAGCCGCTGAGCGACATCTGGTTCTACCAGGAGGGACGGATTAAAAACAAGGTGAGCGCCCTGCAGGCTCACAAACATCGTAGATTATATCTGTTACCTGATTTAAGTTGTTCCTGAAGTCTGACCTCGGTGCCTCTGCTGCAGCTCTCTGCCTCCATGTGCCTGCAAGTGATGGGCAGCGTGGAACCGGCAGCCAAGGTGGTTCTGTGGAATGAGAGCAGGCAGCCGATCCAGAACTGGTCTGCGAATATGCAGGGTCCGATCGGCAGCCTGACGTTCCCTGGAATGGTGCTGGACGTTAAAGGTGAGGCAGGAGGAGTCGGCGCTATGCAGAGTGGGTGGAAATTAGTTACATTTACTTCTTTAACGTTTCTGAATAAGTTACTTTTAGGAGTATTTTACTATGCTGTGCCTTACTTTTACTTCAATGATTTTATGATGAAGTATTTCTGCTCTTGAATAACATTTCTGGATTTTCTACCCACTGAATGGAAAACAAACATGTTTTAACCAAAAATCCACCAGACAGACACACACCTGCAGTTATTGATCAAGTTTCATTGCTTTTGTTGAAAGAATTTGGAAAAATTGTCTAAATTTGCCTGACTTAGTTATGTTTTTACTTATGTGAACTATTGTCATTTTGGTCCCTAAAATACCAAAATTTCCACTTAACTATATATTTTGGTCCGTCTGATGACGTAATGATTAAATATTAAAATATTGATAATTTGATCAGTCACTTTTTACCAAATACTTTAATAACTTCTTGGACGGCTTGGAGTAAAAACACGTTGACCTATCGCTGCTCTTACTTGAGTGAAATCTTTGGGTTCTCTACGGATCCAATGTTTATTGATCGGTCTGACCAATAATTAATCTATTTTGAGTTTATTTTTTGCATTTCCAACAGAAGTCTCTTTTGATGTTTCAGTTTGGAATAGTTGCATTTTATATCAGTCTTCAATGCAATTCAACTCAAACCACTCATGGGCCAAAACTTGAATTCAATTAATTACTCATTAATTACAAGAATGATAAGGTTTGCAACTTATACTGTAAGTTAATTTACTATATAAGGCCATATTCAGGTATGAATCAGAGACCTTTAGTGAATCAAAACTAAAACCGGAAACTTGTACTGCAGCCAGAAAAGGTGCTGCAAGTCTGGCTGGAAGTGATCAGATGTTATTCATCTGATGTGATGAAATGTTTTCACGCTGCCAGGCGTTAAAACCTCCAGCAGGTTTGTCTGCATGTTTCCACCTCGGAGCGTTTGTCCCTCTCCTTCCTCGTCTTCAGCTCTGCTGTCGGTTCTCCGCAGGCGGCAGAACGTACGATAAGGAGCATGTGGTGGTGATGCCGGAGAACGACGAGAGGCCCAGTCAGCAGTGGGAGATCCAGCTGCTGTAGCGGGAAACCTGCTGTAGCGGGAAACCTGCTGCAGCCGGAAACCTGCTGCGCCTTTCTGGAGCTTGCCGTTCTCCTGAATGCACGGAGACCGGCGAACCGAATCTGAAACGGTTTACAGGCAGCAGCAGGAGGTTCTGTTACCAAAGATACTCCCGACTTTCTGGTTGTGATTCCACTGAGCTCCTGTAAATGTTCTGCCTGGATCGCTACGCATCAACCAGCAGAACAGGAATGTTTGCTTTCAGTATGTTTATATGTACATGTGTGTGGACGATGCTGCAGCCGGGTTCTTCCTATTTTATTAGCTTCTGTTACATTAACCTGCTTCAGCTCTGTTCATATTTGAAATGAAATGCATGCAGTTGGAAGATGTTGTACACAAGGAAAGGGTTTTAAAACGCTCAATAAACAATAAAGCAACTGTTGTTTTGTCAGCTGGTTCTGAAGGAGAGATCATCTGTCTGACTGACTTCCTGGAAAATGTCATTTGAAATAGCATGATGGGTTGTGGGTTAACGTAGTTTGCATTTAGTTTAAAATATCCCGGACAAGACCCCATTTTTTTCTTTGAGTTAAGAGGACATGAGTCTCAAAAGACTTTCTTGTAAAAATAATGGGTTAACAATAGTGACTAGTATAAATTCTCCTGCACATCTGAACCTGCCAACACCAGCCTTTAAACTCTGGGGAGATATTCTGTCAAATTAAACTCAAGTTCAAATTTGAAAGGGGCTTTATTGTTTCACGATGTTATTCATTCACAATTAAAGTATCTAGCTAACAAGCTAAAAATATAGTTCAGATAAGTATTTAACATATCAACTAAAAATGTAACTAGCAAGCACTCCAAATGGATTATTTAGCTGCAAGCTCGGTATTTAGTAACTTAAATATTTACATCCAAACTAAACTTTATTTCTGTGAGTAATAAAGAAATATTCATGTTATTTTTTCCAACACAGGCATGTGGATTTGTTTTGTACCATTTGCTTTGGATCATTTGGTGTAAAACTGGAAATATAAGATTTTTTTAAAGTGTAACTCAAAGAATACAATTTGTGTACTTGCACTTAAAAATTGAAAAGATGTAGCTGCTGCTTTGCATTTGTGCAAGACTGACAAAAATCTACAATTACAAAACTGCCGCAGGACTTCCACTTCAGAGTTGCAAGGTACAAATACTTTTGCTCCAAAAATACCTCTGTAGGAAAGAAATGGGCTGTCCAGTGAAAAATTGTAACTTGGCTCACATGTGGCCAAAAAATCTGGTTTGGATCGCAATCGCCTGCTGGAAGTTCTGTGTTAGTTCTAAGAAAGTTATCTGGAAGTTGGAGAGGAGAAACTTGAAGTTTCAGCCAGTAAGTCCTGGGAACTTTACATGCGCTCTGCAGAAGGAGCTTGATGACACAAATTGTAGAAAGTGGTCTACAATGTAGAGTTTCCTCTAAGTTAAGCTGCAGGCTGTTTGAAAACAGAAAGCTGCAGCAGTTCTGCTGTTTGCAGTGAAAACACCGGATCGTGTTCCTCTGCTGCAGGTTTTGGATCCGAATGGGGAAACATGGAGGCTGTGAATGTTTGACCTGCTGAGACATGAGAAGCATGCAGGCGGACGGCTCCAAATCAGGTCCTTCGTTATCCATTGGACATCTGCAGCTAACGGCGACATCACTTCCTGCTCAGAACCGGCCCGTCAGGATTCCTGTTCATCCCGGAGCAGATCGTTTTCCAGCCGGGAGTCCTCACACGGACCAACGCGCTGCTGACACTCACAGAAAGCTGAGCTGTGATTGGTCAGGAGTTCCTGCAGCAGGTGTGTCTTGGATCCCGGACAGCAGAAAGACGTCCAGTTTCAGGTGAGAGGATACATTGAGGACAGGAGCTGAGGCTTCAAAGAACTAAAGGTTCTGATGCTGGTTCTGTTCAAGTTGATCCATGGATGAAAACTTCTCCTCAGTGAGTAACACCAGAACCCGTCTCTGACCCGACGTGGAGACGACGTTAATCTCTCCCTCTGTCTCCTCAGGACATGTGGTGGGGGACGCTGGGCACCATCCGACCCTTCCCCAACTTCCACCCGGACCGAGACGCGGCAGACATCCAGACGGCGCTGGAGAGGAAAGGTAGGGGGCGGGTCAGAGCGGAGTTCCCCTGACCCGCTCCGACCCGGGAGGCTGACGTTTGTGGACTTTGTTCAGACATGGTGGTGCTGGTGAGGATCCTGACCAACCGCAACAACGCCCAGAGACAAGCCGTCGCCCAGAGCTTCCAGGACAAAACCAAGCAGGTACGCAGACAGGAAGTAGAGCAGGAAGGTTCCCAAACGTTCAGGGGAAGAAAGGAAACAAGCATCACATCACATAGCAGCGAAAGAAATACAGGAATGTTCCCTGAAATGCACAAAGTAAACGTATTTGTCCTGCTTAATAAAATAAATCAATTAATCACGTGATAAATTAAAACAAGCTCAATAATTTACATTTGCTTGATTTATCGATTTCTTTTTTTCTGTTTCTACCAAAACTGGATGATAAAAGTTTTTAGTCTGGTTCTTTGGTCTGAAATCACCATTTTTTCAAAGGATAATTTTGCTTACAGAGACTAATGATTAATTTCATTTCTTATTTCTGCTGTTTTGTTTATTTTGAAAGGTCTTCTAGTTCAACTTTAAATGTTCATTATAATTTAGTTTACTGATCTTTGAGAAAGTGTTATTATATTATTATCCCATTTGTTACTGGAAAATGGTCTCAATATTATCATTTATCTCAATAACAATTTATCACCCAGCAGAATGCGTTACCATGACGATAACATCAAGTTTAGTATGTTTTATTTCTGTCACTTCCTGGAGTATTTTGACTCGCTGCTTGTGATTGGTTCTTTTTCATCCAAGAAATGGATGCTGATTGGATGAATCGGCAGTTTGCCGTCGATTTATATTGTGAATGCAGTTGCTCTTGCGTTAGGAACATATTTATATATAAACGACATGACATTTTTGGCCTTCTCTGTGTTCCATACATGAGGAACAGAGTGTGAGAACTTAAAGTTTGTTTACATTGATATATGCTCTCACATCATACATCACTGATGTTTCACTGATTAATCAGATTAGTGGAACAAAGAGAGGATTCAAGTTTTAGAGCAAAACTGCATGAACATATGAACCATCTCACAGTGAAAAAACACAAACGCTGCGACGCCTCGGAAGAGAGGAGTGAATGAATGAATGACGATGGAGCCTCCCTGTTACTCGACATGTCTCTCCGGGTCACTGCTGCACTTTGATCCCTGAACTTTGTGTTTGCTGATCAAACATGAGTGAACACGCCTGTGTTTGCAGAAGGAGCTCAGCGGGGTATTGAACCGCCAACCTTCCTGTTCTGTGGCCTCCTCTCATCACACCCGTCCTGATGTCTGAGCTCCTGCCTGCAGCGTTAAAGCTGAGGACAGAAGACCTCAGCTTTAACCGGACAGCAGGCTGAGAAACACGCCGAGTCCTACGGGACAAAACTGAAAATCAGTTTTAATCTTTCATTCTGATTCAATACAAATATTACTAATCCTGCAGTTTTCATTTAAGCTTTTCTGATACACAATTAAAATTATCTTTTTAAAGTGTTTATTTTGGTATTTAATTTTTTAACTTTAATTACATTGTTTTTACCAATATTAAGTTTTTTATTATTATTTTATTCTTTCTTTTTACATAAAAAGAATATTTCTTAATATTTACATTTTTATTTGATTCTTTTTCTTTCTGTCATTTATTTTTATTACTGATTTACTTTTTAGTAAATGTTTCGCATTCATTTACATATTTTTTAATTATCCTGGGACTAACCTTCTTCTCTAGAGAATGACCTTCTGACCCTTTAGTGAGCCAGAACCCGGGGCCGGTTCTGGTTCTGGAGACCCAGGGAGCTGCTGAGGGCCTTCAGGTGTTTCTGTGTTGCTGCAGGATCTGAGCGCTGCTCTGAAGAAGGTTCTGTCCGGAGACCTGGAGGAGCTGCTGCTGCAGCTGGTGATGACGCCGGAGCAGCTGGAGGCCCAGCGGCTGAAGGCGGCCATGGCGGTGAGCCTCCGGGTCCGGTCGGGAGTTCACCCGCACCGTCGGGGTTCTCGTGCGGTTCTCATCCGGTCCGTGTGTCTGCAGGGTCTGGGCACCGATGAGGAAACGCTGCTGGAGATCCTGTGTTCCCGCTCCAGGAAGACGCTGCAGGAAGTGGCTGCCGTCTACAGTCAGAGTGAGTCTCTGGGTCTTGCTGCTATAATCAGGCCCGGTTCGGTTCTGATGCTGGTTCTCTGATTTCAGTGTATAAGAAGGATCTGGAGAAGGAGCTGAAAGCAGAAACCAGTGGAGACTTCGCCCGGCTGGTTGTGGCTCTGCTGAATGTAGGAAACCTGCTCAATATCATCAATTAGTACATTGATGTAAAGCGGCCATTTTCTTCTGATCCAGTGTTTTCAAAGGGACGACCGTCTTCCCAAAAAGGACTAAAGTTTTCAGAATTTGCTGAATTAAAAAAATATATATATTATTTTAACATTATTTTGTGTCAGCTGTATTGAACACATGGATCAGCGGCGCCCTCTGCTGGATGACACGCTTTAAGGTTTAACATTTTGGCTTGGGGCAGGACGGAGGCTGAGGCACAAAAAAATCTTCTGGTTAATTTAGAGCAAATTGTTTTCTGGATTTTTGTGCAAAGACATCTACAGCCCATCTTTAGTTGGAATTAATCTGAATAATGTGCATAAAACTGTTTTAGTCCCAGCAGGAGGATGAAGCGTGTCGTTTTGTCCTCCATTTTGTCCCAACAGAAAGCCGTTACTGTGGGCTCTGTCCAGAGAGACGTTCAGGTATTTTTTGCTCCTCATGCAGTCCGGATCATTTCCACTCCATCTCCCTGAGCTCCAGCTCTGCTCCCCTATGTTCCCAGGCTCTCGCTGCATCTCTCAGTGGGAAGAAAGCAGAAGCCGGACCCTGGATCAACATCCTGACGTCCAGAGACTCGGATCACCTGGATAAAGGTGAGTAAGTGACCAGCTGCGGCCTGCAGGTGGCGCTGAGATGCTCACTGTGAACGTCTGGCAGTGCTGATGGAGCTGGAGCTGGAGACGGGGCAGGCTGTGGATCAGCTGGTGGAGAAACACTTCTCTGGAGACTTCCGGCTCGGCCTGAGAGTTTTAGGTGAGTCCCAGGTGAGAGGTTTGCTGATTGGTTGGCTCCTCATGGTTCTGTGTTTGTGTTGGAACAGTTCAGTGCATCCAGAACCCAGAGGTCTACTTCGCCCAGAGACTGCTCACCATGAAGGTGAGACAATGACTGGTCAACACCCACACACAGCCCGGTAATGAGGGCAAAGGGCACATCTCAACTAAAAATGAAACACACACCCACAGTTAATGTTGAAGTGAGAGCTCTTGTTTGTACACCAGCTTTGATTTTGTAATATTTTCTATTTTCTGAGCCTGTGAAACATTTAGTGTTTAAGAAGATGTACCAAACCCTTTATATGAAAGGACAGGTTAAACATTAACACATTTACTAATGTACCAGTTGTACTGGAAAAAAGAAATGTTTCTTCTGTCTTTGTGTTATTTTGTAATTCTATTTTTCATTTTAGTCTTTAAAATACCACACTTTGCAAACCTTTCTTTCTGTCCAATCACATCAATGTAAAATATTAAACCAGGGGTTTTAAACAGTACAAGTATTTAGTAAAAAAGTACTAAAGCAGCTTTTTTACTAAATACTTTACTTTTACTTAAGTAATATCTTAGATGATAACTTTATACTCTTAATGGGCTAAAAAATGTATACTCTGACTGGAGTAAAATCTTTGACTCCTCTCCCTTCCACTTCCAACTTTATTAGCATGTATAGCTAACACTTAGCCCCGCGTAAAACGTATGGCCGTTACTGTGGTCATTAGCACTTTTTCCTTTCAAAATCTCTATTTAAACACTGCGGAGCTGGACTACCATTAGTTACTATTTAGTGACATAACCTACCAGTGTCTGCCTTCATCTAGAGCTGATGAATGTTCCAGAAGATGCGCTCATTACAGGCCCGGACCTCAGCTGGGGGTCGGCGTTAGCCCTAGCGTTAGCTAGCCGCGCCTCGGCTGTTCCCTCTTCCGACATAACGGCACAGCGACCTGGTCAAAGTGTCACAAAACACACCCGAACACGTAGACGACCAGACCTCGCAACCCGTTTCCCGATTTGAATCGCTTTGGTACCGATTCGGGCCACCGCAAACCGATGTTCTTTCTTTACGCGCTAACTTGTTTCTCTGCCTGCGCAGACCCAAGTAACGTCCTGTAAATCCAGGAAGCAAAGATTTTATTCAGGAAAAAGCAACACTACTGCTACATATTTTCACACAAGCAGGTAGTGCTGAAAAATTGACCCAAACACCTGACTAAATATTTAAAAAATATATATGTAACCAGACAAACAAAAATATAAAATAATGGGACCAGGTCCAGGACTAATTCTGCTGATTCATTTTCCATCCATCCATCCTTCTGTGCACCCTTATCCCGAGTGGGACCGGGAGTTTCTGGTTGGTGCCTCTGAAGGGCGAGATGCGGGGTCACCTGGACAGGTCGCCAGTCTGTCGCAGGCTGATTCATTTTAACCTCTAGAAATCAGGCGGATGGTTTCAGGCCATTTAATATTTTTAGAAACATGAATATTTCAGAGTGACTGCAGCTGCTTCTGCTGGACCAAAATGCTGCATGAAGATTCAATAATTCTGTAAATTAAAACCTGATGTGTGTGAGGCGACTTTCTGCTGTAATGATTATAAATCGGACTGATCTCAGCTTACTGCAGATGAAATATTAGCCCCTCATATCATGTTTCTGGATTCAGTTGTTTAAAAATAAATTCATTTTAATTTAGTAAGTACACCCTCTGACTGCTGCAGGTTTTGATGAACATATTAGGCACATCTGTTATTAAACTAAAATGAGGCAGAAGCTGAGCGAAGCTGCTCCCTGACCTTCTTCAAATCAGAAGAAATTGATGTCAGGCAGGTTGCTGCAGGTTGCTGCAGGTTGCTGCAGTCAGACAGGTTGCTGACCGGATGGATCCCTGACGGTTTTCCCTCTGCAGACGTCGCTGGTTCAGGGCATCATGGTGTCCCATAGCGAGGAGGACCTGCTGCCAATCCGCGCAGCGTTCCTCAGGCTCAGCGGATCATCTCTATACTCCACTCTGCAGGTTGGACTCATGTTGCTGCATTACCTGCGCTGCATCACCTGCCACCTTCAATAACCTGATTGTTCTCTGATTGTCCTTCAGAAACATTTTAAAGGGGAGCAGCTGCTGGCTCTGCAGGCCATCTGTCGGTCTGAAGATTAAACAGAACTGCCTCTCCTGTGTTTGTATTTCACATCTTTTTTTCATATTAATGACGTTTCTGACTTTCCTCTATAACTTATTAACTTTTACCACTTTGTGCTGCTGGCACACTGTGGTTCTTTGTTTTAATGTGTGACATGAAGACAGAACTTATTAAAACTTAAACATGCAAACAAACAGCAGGACTGGCAGCGTGACCTTCTTTTATTTACTCAAATCTGAGCAGAACCATAAGAACAAGCATTAATATGTGAGCATGTACAGTTAAACACAAGCTGACAGAATTACTCTCATCAATTAATTCAGAATGATAAAAATTAAATCTTTAAATCCTTATTTTAAGATTCGGGGTTAGAAGGTTAGACGATAAAGAACAAATCATATCTGTGGTTCTGCTTCTGACATTTCAGGAAATTTGGTTTGATGATGTTTGAGGTTCACAGGAAGAACAAGTAGAGCAGGAGAGGAGCTGCAGAAAGCAGCAGAGGAGCTCTGAAGCCAAAACAGCCATTCAAAGAAGTTAAGGGGATGGGAGTTTTGATGACTGAGCTGGATGATGGCGAAGACTTGGATGGGGTTGTTGAAGAATTTGATGGGGTTGTTGAAGAGTTTGATGGGGTTGTTGAAGAGTTTGATGGGGTTGTTGGTGAAGACTTGGATGGGGTTGTTGAAGAGTTTGATGGGGTTGTTGGTGAAGACGTGGATGGGGTTGTTGAAGAGTTTGATGGGGTTGTTGGTGAAGACGTGGATGGGGTTGTTGAAGAGTTTGATGGGGTTGTTGGTGAAGAGTTTGATGGGGTTGTTGAAGAGTTGGATGGGGTTGTTGAAGAGTTGGATGGGGTTGTTGGTGAAGAGTTTGATGGGGTTGTTGAAGAGTTTGATGGGGTTGTTGGTGAAGAGTTTGATGGGGTTGTTGAAGAGTTGGATGGGGTTGTTGAAGAGTTTGATGGGGTTGTTGGTGAAGAGTTTGATGGGGTTGTTGGTGAAGACCTGGATGGGGTTGTTGAAGAGTTTGATGGGGTTGTTGGTGAAGAGTTTGATGGGGTTGTTGAAGAGTTTGATGGGGTTGTTGGTGAAGAGTTTGATGGGGTTGTTGAAGAGTTTGATGGGGTTGTTGGTGAAGAGTTTGATGGGGTTGTTGAAGAGTTGGATGGGGTTGTTGAAGAGTTTGATGGGGTTGTTGGTGAAGAGTTTGATGGGGTTGTTGGTGAAGAGTTTGATGGGGTTGTTGGTGAAGTCGTGGATGGGGTTGTTGAAGAGTTGGATGGGGTTGTTGGTGAAGAGTTTGATGGGGTTGTTGGTGAAGACGTGGATGGGGTTGTTGAAGAGTTTGATGGGGTTGTTGGTGAAGAGTTGGATGGGGTTGTTGAAGAGTTGGAAGGGGTTGTTGAAGAGTTTGATGGGGTTGTTGGTGAAGAGTTTGATGGGTTTGTTGAAGAGTTTGATGGGGTTGTTGGTGAAGAGTTTGATGGGGTTGTTGAAGAGTTGGATGGGGTTGTTGAAGAGTTTGATGGGGTTGTTGGTGAAGAGTTTGATGGGGTTGTTGGTGAAGTCGTGGATGGGGTTGTTGAAGAGTTGGATGGGGTTGTTGGTGAAGAGTTTGATGGGGTTGTTGGTGAAGAGTTTGATGGGGTGTTGAAGAGTTTGATGGGTTGTTGAAGAGTTTGATGGGGTTGTTGGTGAAGAGTTTGATGGGGTTGTTGAAGAGTTTGATGGGGTTGTTGGTGAAGACGTGGATGGGGTTGTTGAAGAGTTTGATGGGGTTGTTGGTGAAGACCTGGATGGGGTTGTTGAAGAGTTTGATGGGGTTGTTGGTGAAGAGTTGATGGGGTTGTTGGTGAAGAGTTTGATGGGGTTGTTGAAGAGTTGGATGGGGTTGTTGAAGAGTTGATGGGGTTGTTGGTGAAGAGTTTGATGGGGTTGTTGGTGAAGTCGTGGATGGGGTTGTTGAAGAGTTGGATGGGTTGTTGGTGAAGAGTTGATGGGGTTGTTGGTGAAGAGTTTGATGGGTTGTTGAAGAGTTGGATGGGTTGTTGAAGAGTTGGATGGGGTTGTTGGTGAAGAGTTGGATGGGGTTGTTGGTGAAGAGTTGGATGGGGTTGTTGAAGAGTTGGATGGGGTTGGTGAAGAGTTTGATGGGGTTGTTGGTGAAGTCGTGGATGGGGTTGTTGAAGAATTGTATGGGGTTGTTGAAGAGTTGGATGGGGTTGTTGGTGAAGAGTTTGATGGGGTTGTTGGTGAAGACGTGGGTGGGGTTGTTGGTGAAGTTATTGATACAGTTATTGATGGAGTTGCTGCTCCAGATTTTGGGTACACCTGCACAGAGAATTGGTTTGATCATTGTTAGAAGTCAGTGAACTCACAGAATACCCAGATGTCATTAATAAAAAAAAAAGGTAAACATGAAGCCCCACATGTATCTGTTAGTTTGACCCGTCAGTTAGTGCTACTGAAGGTTCTGGAGTGTTTCAAGGTCGGCTGACCTCCTTGTAGAGGTCACCGTTGTGTCTGGAATTTTATTAGATGGGGCTCCACTTTGCCAAGATCCTAAAGAAGATCTGATTTTTCCTCCTAGGACAAACCAACTACAATGTCTGATAAGAACCTGAGAAGTTTAAAGCTTCTGTTTTGCTTTCTTCTGATATCATTCGGTAATAACACTGATCTAGGTGTTAATTATTCAAAACAGAGATAAAGACTCGACTGATCCGCAGGAATATTTGACTCAGTGAGGAAGTAAGAAATGTTTTGATTGTTTGCTTTGAAGATGATAAATATTAATAAAATAAAAATTATAGGAGTCAGACATAAGACAACTGTCCTGTCTGGACCTGAAGCACTTCTTGCTGTCAGGTTTTCAGGTAAAAATCAGCAGATCAGGCTGTATGAAGGTCAGTCTGAAACTCACCTGGCTGAGTTTTGAAACTCACCTGGCTGAGTTTTGAAACTCACCTGGCTGAGTTCTGAAACTCACCTGGCTGAGCTCTGAAACTCACCTGGCTGAGCTCTGAAACTCACCTGGCTGAGCTCTGAAACTCACCTGGCTGAGCTCTGAAACTCACCTGGCTGAGTTCTGAAACTCACCTGGCTGAGCTCTGAAACTCACCTGGCTGAGCTCTGAAACTCACCTGGCTGAGCTCTGAAACTCACCTGGCTGAGTTCTGAAACTCACCTGGCTGAGCTCTGAAACTCACCTGGCTGAGTTCTGAAACTCACCTGGCTGAGTTCTGAAACTCACCTGGCTGAGTTCTGAAACATTGTTGAAGCCATCCGCTGAAATGACAAATGGCTGAGGACCAACCAATAACAGCCTTTCTAGTGATTGGGAACATTATGTCAGAGTTCTGCTCTGAGGGGAGTTCCTCAAGGCTCTGTTCTTGGGTCCACTCTTGTCAACGTCTGCTCCCACATATATTACAAGAATTTTGCCATGGAGAATGCAGTGAAAAGGTATTTACCCCCTTACACATCGGATCTGTTATTGTGATGAAATATTTCACATTGGCAAACAAAGATTATCTGATTACAAAAAATATGAATTTTAAATGATGAATTTATCATTAAGTAAAAGAAAATGCATCCAAACAAGTGGAAACTCCCTGGCTAAGAAGCAAAAGCGTCTCCATTGATTAGTATGGTGAACAGATACCTGCAGAAGCAGACAGCAGAGGACCAGAGTCGACATCTTCATGGTGCAAAAACCCGGAGAAGTTCACCTGAAAGCTTCGGTGGAACCTGAACTGAGGAGGAGAGAGGAACCTCTGTTTTTATACGATGTGATCTCAGAGGGAGGAGAGTAGATGTTTGAGGACCTGAATGTGGAAGCAGGAAGTTGTTTGAAACAGAGCCTCCACCTCTGCATGAGTTCAGGAGATTATTGACCGATCAAACCGTTCAACAGAAACACGTTCATCTTGAGTTTCTTCATAAAACTCAGTCAACAGCACATTTTTATCAGTTTATAGTTTCTGAAAATATTCGCCCCTCCTTGTGTTATTGAGAAATAGTTTAATTTTTATCCGGTGCTGATCCGGCATGATGTTTGCATGAGGCGCCTGAAGGTGAAAGAGGTGATTCATTCCTTCAGGTGGATCATTGACCACCTGGAAAACTGTAGACCAGGAACTTCCTCAAAGCGTGAATCAGCTGCTGGGTCTAACATACAACCAGGTAATAAATATGGTCCACAGTTTCATGGCTCATAACGTGCACCCTGTTAATATTAGCAAACACACACAGAACAAATGTCCGCTTCTGTAGAATATGGGCCGGTGCTGAGGTTCAGCTGGAGGGAAGATTCAGTGCAAACACTTCCAGAACCAGAAAACCACCAGAACCGCGATTATCACTGATTATTATTATCAGTTGATCCCTTTTGAATGAAGGTCAGAGACCCCATGATTGATGCGCTGGTTCTGAATCACAGCTTGGTGGTTCTGGTGTCATCTGGTACCACCAGAACCACCAGAATAAACTCAGAGATTAATGTTCTGTTCAACATCTGTTCAGAGTCTCCAGGAAGTCACTCCTCAGTTTCATAAACATTGTTATTATTCTTCATGAAACCCAGGATGAGGTTCCGTGTCCTGGTCCTTCCCACTGTCGCCACATGCTTGCTCATGTCCAGCTGTTGCTGTGTTTCCCTTCCTAATTGGAATATTATGCTAACAGGAGTGAATTTGACTGATAAGAGAAGGAAACTGGGCTGGAGATTCAACTTCCTGTCAGTGTTGTAGCTCTGCCAGCAGGGGGTGACAGTGTTCTCGCTCACCTGTCCAGGTGTGGCCCCGCCCCTGCCTGACAGGGCGGGGTCTGTGTTTACCTGGCCGCTGACTCCTGGTGGGCCTCAGCAGGTCCTGCTGCTTCCTGCTGACACATCAGTTAAATGTTTGCTCAGATTTTCACAAACGCTGCTCAATTCTTCAATATTTAACTTCACAGAAGAAGAAAAATTCCCATTTTACAGAAAACAGAACTGTTCCTGGAGCAGGTCAAAGGTCAAGTAAATTCACTGACAGAAAACTGGTGTTAGAAATAACTTATAATTTACCAACACATTCAGAGATTAATACATTCAACAAATAATACAAGAACCAAGCACAGAATAAATGTGATATTTACTGATAAAATGATGCAACATGAGAAATATGGAGAGATTTACATTTACTGCTAATCTGATCTGGAGCTCAGATGGAAAAAATCATTATGATCTTTAATTGTGTTTCAATTACAAAAACGATATAATAAATGTAATGATTTATGAATGATTTAGTGCAGAACAAATGTTTATTTTGAAACTGTGACTTATTAATGAATGAATATGATGGTGTATGAAGTTCCACTTATTTGTTTTTTATGCTTTAATGAAAGACTGACAAACCCAAATGATTGTTATTCTGTGACTGTGCAGCTCAGCCAGCAGGGGTCGCTGTTCCCTATAGCTGAAGGTCAGCTGATTAATCAAACCATTTAATTAAGAACCAGGAATGATGTGATGATGATGTGCAGGACAGGAGTAGTTCATGTTCTGATTGTTGTTGTGTTCAGGTGCTGTAGGAACTTAGTGTTTCTCATTAATCTTTGCCACATTTAGGTACAGAATCAACAACAGGCAAAATTTTTATTTTTAAAATTTTATTTATTCTACTTTTACCTTAAAACATTGTATCCATGTCATAAATATAGATTTCACACATTACAGAAAACATTTTCTATGAGTGATCAGCTTAAATTCACAAATTTACTGAGAATTTATAGATAACAGACTTAAAACTCAACACTAACCGCCACCATGTGACTCGTTTAACGAGTCGAAGCTTCATGTGGTTTTAGTCAAAGGAAACTGCAGAATAAAACAACAGTAGGTGATGGAGACGACTGGAGGAGCTCCACCTGCTGCTGCCGCTGCTGCATACCTGAGACCTCAGGTGGACAGAAGCTCTGACCTACTGCTGATTAACCTGAATCTGTCCTAAACCCAGGGCTGGGCAATAAATCAATAACCTCATATACCGCGATACACACGTCATCAATATCAATATATGTAACATCATTCAATAATTTCACAGAAATCTGCATGGCATTCTGGGAGATGTAGGCAGAGGATAGCGCTTAGCCTTTCACAGCTAGCTCAGCTAGGCTGGTGGGATCAACTGATTCACTCGCTCTTTGGTTGCCCAGCAACAACCTGTTGAGTAACTTGCGCAGCAGCAGTTTCAGGTTTTGTTACCGTTCCTCATAACTGCTGAAAAGGTAAAAACCAATGGCGTCAAGTGAAAACCGGATAAATGGCAATATTTTAGATATGTCTTTAAAAATCCATAATTGTTGATACTGTGAAATGCTTCTATCGTGATACATTTTTCAGCTTATCGTCCAGCCCTGCCTAAACAATCAGCCTAGCAGCTCCAGCTGAGCTGGACCATGATGGAGCAGAGCAGCAGCCCAAAGGAGGAGAAGCTGCTGATTCCACCTGCTGAGTTTCCCTTCTGTGGTTGGGTTGTGGTGCTGCTGCTCCCACTGTTCCCACTGCTCCCACTGCTCCCACTGCTGGTGCTGTTGGGGCCGGTGGAGTTGGTGCTGACGGTGGGCTTGCCTTTGCCGTTGTTGCTGCTGGTGCTGTTATCTTGGCCAGTGACAGCGGGGTTGGTGGTGGTCCAGGCTGAGGTGGTGTTTCCTGTCACCGCTGCAGCTGAAGGACTTGTTCCCTGATGGAGGACAGAGACAGTCAGGACGCCATTTTGACCTGAATTCAGCGGAGACGCACTCGGCGTGTCCCTGAGAAGACATTTGACCCAAACGCAGGCTTAAAAGTGGACATGTTCCCTGATGTTCCCCCTCATGTTCCCTGATGTCCCAGCAGCAACAATCGATGGCTCTGATTGGCTACAGGATGGAAACCTTGATGATCTGAAGCTCAGGTGATTTTCTGCTCGTCATGTCGGGTTTAATTTTACCCAAGTTTCCTTTTTCTAATTAAAGAAATAATTTAAAGCTGAATCATTTTAGAAACAATCTTTTTGTGAGTGTAAAACCAAACAACCAGTTTTAAAAGGAGCCCTGTTGCAGCCTGCAGGTTCAGTGTGAGATGCTGCAGCAGAGAATGTGTTTGTGCTGCAGGTGGGATCAGTGTCTGTGTTTGTGCTGCAGGTGGGATCAGTGTCTGTGTTTGTGCTGCAGGTGGGATCAGTGTCTGTGTTTGTGCTGCAGGTGGGATCAGTGTCTGTGTTTGTGCTGCAGGTGGGATCAGTGTCTATGTTTGTGCTGCAGGTGGGATCAGTGTCTGTGTTTGTGCTGCAGGTGGGATCAGTGTCTATGTTTGTGCTGCAGGTGGGATCAGTGTCTGTGTTTGTGCTGCAGGTGGGATCAGTGTCTATGTTTGTGCTGCAGGTGGGATCAGTGTCTGTGTTTGTGCTGCAGGTGGGATCAGTGTCTGTGTTTGTGCTGCAGGTGGGATCAGTGTCTGTGTTTGTGCTGCAGGTGGGATCCGTGTCGGTGTTTTACCTGCACTGAGCTCGTCCAGCAGATGCTGGCCCCCAGCAGGGCCAGAGGCAGCAGCTCCCACATCTTCATGCTGACCGTCGATGCTAACGCTCTGTCTTCCTGCCCAACGCGCAACAAATGGGGCAAATTTTCCAGACGGGAGTCTTTTATGGCGCGACGTTCACCTGATGCCTGTTTCCATTCAGGGAGGTCTCAGTCTCCTCCCGCCGAATGCAAAACGTCCCGCAGGGCCGGATGAAATCCAGAATAGCGGGAGCCGCCGCCTCCTCTTAGGGAAACATTTTATTGGAAAATAAAGATGTGCAGCACAACGACAGACCCAGAAACCAGCGGGCAGTTTTACTCCTGGCTGAAGACATGGGTTTAGTTTGAAATGCAATTATAAAGTCAGAATATCACAGAAATTAATTATTTATGAGAACTTTTATTCAAAAACTTAAGAATTAAAAAGAGAAAAGCTGAGCATAGTTTGGTATCAGTTTTACAAATCAGGAAATTCCATCTGCAAGAAAGTGCAAACAGTGAAAGAAATATTTACAGTAACATTTATTTTACATGTAAGGAAAATATAAAAAACAAGGAAATGTTTCATCTTCTGTCTCTCTGCTACTTTCAGGGTTTATTATAAATCAATCAATCAGAAATAATTTATCTCCAAAAGATTTTAAATTCAACATTAGATGAATAAACAGTTTTATGGTTTTTAATGTTTCCTCAGGTTCTGCAGCTCTGAGTTCAGGCTGAACGGAGGAACTGCTGATCAAACCGATTTAATCAGGAAATCTGAATCTGGAAAGATCTGATTTTAAAGTTTGATCATTTAGCCGAGCAGCTGAATGATGTGAGACTGTAAATATTTTATACCCAGAAAATAAGTCCTGTCTGGTTAATGTGGACCAGGTTTGATGTTTCTGGATTAGACAGATTTTATGAGTGAACCTTTAATAATCTGGGTTTCCTTCGTATGAACGGCTGTTGGGTTGTGGATATTGCTCATGTTTTTCCAGGTGGTTTAATCCTGCCTGTCCTCTGCACACAGCTGGATTTGCATGTGTTGTTCTTTAAATAAAAGCTGTTTTCCTTTTAAAATCAGGATGTAAATCAGTATCAGGGTTTAGTTTCCATCAGCTGCAGCGGAGCGGAGCGCAGCGGCCGGTTGGACTTTCAGTTCAGGAAAAACACGAGCAGAACCCGTTAATGTTTTATTGCTCATAAAAACAGAAGTTCAGATCATTTCTGATTGTTTATATTGGATAGAGGAGGAGAGCTCAGCGCCTGCAGCACCTCACCGCTGAGCCCAGAGGTTCAGGTGTGAGCGGCGCGCTGCAGCAGCATGCAGGCCGCAGACAACAGCAGCAGCTGCAGCCTGCGGCCTGCAGACACGCAGCCCGACCCCGCTGTGGGGGGGGCAGAGGTCAGGGGCGTCGCACCGCCGCCAGGGGCGCTCTGGCTGGGAGCCGCTGGGGTTTGGGTCATCGCTGAAGGCTGGACGTCTGCCTGGGGGGTGGCGGTGTTGGCGGGCTGGGTGGAGGAGTTGGTGGGGCCACCGGCACCAGGGGGGCTCTGGCTGGGAGCCGCTGGGGTCTGGGAAGTTGCAGATGGCTGGACGTCCGTCTGGGGGGTGGTGGTGTTAGAGGGCCGGGTGGAGGAGGTGGGTGAGGTGCTGGTGGGGGAGGAGCTCTGGGTGGGAGCCACTGGGGTTTGGGTTGTAGCTGAAGGCTGGACGTCCGTCTTGGGGGTGGCGGTGTTGGAGGGGGTGCCGCTGCTGAGCTGCAGCGTGGCAGGTGCAGCCTGGAGGGTCGTATCAGTCCCTGTGGTGTCAGAGGTCAGGGTGGTCGCCAGGACAACGGTGGAGGAGATGGAGACCTGAGCCTAAAGAGGGAGAAGAGGCAGGGTGAGAACCAACCTGGAACACCTGGAACTCCTGGAACACCTGGAACACCTGGAACTCCTGGAACTCCTGGAACTCCTGGAACACCTGGAGCTCCTGGAACTCCTGGAACACTGCAGCTCAGAGATCAAAGATCTGACAACTAAAATAATCAGGAACAAACTTCCAGAAAACAGACAAAACAATATTTAGTTTGAAGATAAATATTTAGTCTCTTAATTAACCATTTTAGTTGGTAATTAATAATAAAATCAACTGAATTGGTCAAATGTTTTTCTCGTCTCATAATCTGGTTCTGTGTCACATTTTTGCTGAAATGTTCTAAACCAGGGAGTCAACATCCGGTCCTGGTGGGTCGATGTCCTGCAGCCTGTAGCTGAGCCTCTGCTGCAGCTGAACAGTAATTAGGTCATTGAGGCTCTGGAGAACCAGGAGCAGGAGATTAAACCATTTCATTCCTGAGTTTTGTACCTGAAGCACATCGAAAAACTGCAGGACAGCTTGAGGTCTGGAGTTTGATACCCTGGACTAAACAAATAAACTTGACTTGATTTGGATCAGAACCAGAGAACAAACAGAGCTTCCTGTCTGAGCCTCCAGGCCAGAATCTGTGTGTGTGTGTGTGTGTGTGTGTGTGCGTGCGTGCGTGCGTGTGTGTGTGTGTGCGTGTGTGTGCGCGCGTGTGTGTGGGTGTGTGTCTGTGTGTGTGTGTGTCTGTGTGTGTGTGCGTGTGTGTGTGTGTGTCTGTGTGTGTGTCTGTGTGTGCGTGCGTGTGTGTGTGTGTCTGTGTGTGTGTGTCTGTGTGTGTGTGTCTGTGTGTGTGTGTGTGTGTGTCTGTGTGTGTCTGTGTGTGTGTCTGTGTGTGTGTGTGTGTGTGTGTCTGTGTGTGTGTGTGTCTATGTGTGTGTCTGTGTGTGCGCGTGTGTGTGTGCGTGCGTGTCTGTGTGTGTGTCTATGTGTGTGTGTGTGTGTGTGTCTGTGTGTGCGCGTGTGTGTGTGCGTGCGTGTCTGTGTGTGTGTGTCTATGTGTGTGTGTGTCTGTGTGTGTGTCTGTGTGTGCGTGCGTGTGTGTGTGTGCGCGCGTGTGTGTGTGTGTCTGTGTGTCTGTGTATGTGTGTGTGTCTGTGTGTGTTTGTGTGTGTGTGTGTGTGTGGGGTGTGTGTGTGTGTGTGTGTGTGGGTGTGTGTGTGTGTGTGTGTGTGTGTGTGTGTGTGTGTGTGTGTGTGTGTGTGTGTGTGTGTGTGTGTGTGTATGCAAAGCAGAAGCATCAGTTGTTCCATGAGCCATGAACACATTAAGGAACTTTGCATGAGGCTGCGGTCGTTGATCTGCGTTTCCTGCAGACGTCATCCTGTCTGCTTCAATCTCAGCTTCGTGTTTTTTCCTCCTGCTGCCCTGCAGGAGCGTCTCCGGCCTGATCTCCGGCCCCCGTGTTGGGCCCCCCGTGTTGGGCCCTCCATGTTGGGCACCAATTTGTCAGCAGTCAAAATGTAGCAAGTAGCACAAATAAATCACCATAGGACTCGCTGCTGTCGGAATTATTCTAACTCGTCTGTTTTACAGTGCAGGCTCTATGTCTCATGATGTGTGTGTGGTTTTATACACTGCAAAAACAAAATCATCTTTGGTCTAGCTTCTAGTGCCAACATTTCAGTTAACTTGAAATAAGTCGGAGCTAATTTATAAGTAACTTCTTGGCGAGATATAGCAGCTTGTTCAGTTCCTTAATATTTCATTTTTCCTTAACTTGGATGAATAAAAACGTTCTTCATCACGCTGAGGTCAGACTGATCTGACGTTTCCCAGCCGATCAAAACACATCCAGAATAAAACCATTTCCCTCCTCCACCTGCAGGTGTCAGGCTTTTTTCTGCTCAACCAGAACCTGAACCTGAACATGACCTCTGACCCTGAACTGTCTCCCTCTGGCCTGAAGCTCAGTTTCAATCTTCATGAATGTACCAGTTATTCCAGTAAAACTGAGGCAAACCGTCGTTTTCCCATGATGCCTCAGTGCAACGGCATCATGGCTCCATTTCATCTAAATAATTTTACCAGAACCAGAACCAGCTGCAGCTTCCTTCTCTGATCTGATCGGGTTTATTTCCTGGCTGAAGCAGAACCTTCCAGCAGGTGGTTCACTGGTTCTACTGGTTCTGATTACTGGTTCCGCCTGATTGGATCTGGGATCTGGACCCAACCCGTCCATAACTTTATTGTTTGTAACTAAATGTTTAATTTGAAGTCAAATATCTGCTTGTTAACTAAATATTATGTTTAAAGTGTTTATAGCTAAATTGTTGTTGTGACATTTTTAATAAGATGGTTAAAATCTGATTCTGAAAAATTAACTTTTGTTGTTTCTCTTATGAAAAACTGAATAACTAAAATTGTTGCTGTTCATTTTTTGCAGTGTAGCTTCATAAACTGTTTCTATCTGACCTGCAGGGAGTCACGTTCTGGTGACGGTCCAGTTAAAGTCCAGGCTACGCCCAGCAGAACCGGGCTCTGGGCAGGCTAACTGACCCGGACACGGCTGACCCATCAGAACCTGAAACCATAAAACCCGGAGCAGCTGCAGCCGGCGCTGCATGGAAATCTGCTTTTCTCTGCATTTGAATGTCGCCATGTTTATAAGCTGCTGAACCAAATGCTGCGTCTGTTCTGGTTCCTGCGGGCCGGCCCGTTCTGGTTCCTTACCTGAGTGCAGCTCAGGAACATGACGACCAGAACCAGCACCTGGGATCTCTCCATCCTGCCCGGTTCGTCCGTGTGTCTGTCCCCTCCTCTCGGTCCGGCTCAGATTTTATACCTGAGCAGCTGATAACAGCTGATAACAACTTCTGCTCTCACAGACTCACTTCCTGCAGGAGAAATTACCCAGAACCTGGTTCTGTTCATGAAACAGAACCTCGCACTTCACTGACCCGATTCAGACTGAAGGCTGCTGCAGCCTTCAGTCTTCTAGAGACGCTTTAAATACAGACTGACATGAATAAAAACAGGCAGAAAATCATAGAAATCAGCCAGAAATGAAACATTTTCCTGATTGATGTTTCGGTTTACAGCTTCAATTACAACTAAAAAATTGATTGATCGCATTGATTATTGTAACAGCGTCTTCACAGGCCTGACCAACAAATCAAACAGCTGCAGCTGATCCAGAAGCTGCTGATCCAGAAGCTGCTGATCCAGAAGCTGCTGATCCAGAAGCTGCTGATCCAGAAGCTGCTGCTCCTGTTCTCACTAGAACCAGGAAGATAGAGACATAACACCAGTTTTAAAGTCCCTCCACTGGCTCCCTGTAGCTCAAAGAATAGATTTTAAAATACTGTTGTTAGTTTATAAATCACTGAACGGTTTAGCACCACAATACATCAAAGATCTGCTGTTGTTGTATCAACCTTCCAGACTCTCAGGTTCTGGTTCTGGTTCTGCTCTGCATCCAGAACCAGAACCAAGAGAGGAGAAGCAGCTTTCAGCATCTATGCACCAAACATCTGGAACAAACTTCCAGAAAACTGTAAAACAGCAGAAACCCTGACTTCCTTTAAATCTCAACTAAAAACCAGCTGATTAGTTTTATTAGAAATGTAATATGTAACAATGTGTTGTTTATTATATGACTTTGTGTTTATGATGTAAAGCACTTTGAAATGCCTTGCTGCTGAAATGTGCTATACTAATAAAACTTGATTGATTGATTGATTGATTGTGGATCAGAAATGTGATGTTTTGGTTTATGGATCAGAAATGGTTCCTGTTCTGTTCAGTTTTCCTCTCAGTTCTTGTTTCCACTCTGAACTCATTGTTTTTCTCTTTAAATGTCAAAAAGTTAAAAAAAATAAAACATTCTGCTTTGAAACATTCGTTTTTGTTTCCTTGAAGAATTAATTATTTGTTCTTGAAAGAGAATTAAAAATTGATGAGAAATTTTCGACCACTTGTGTTTTTCTATTGCATATTTTTCACTATAAAACATTTATGTTTCAAAAAGCCAACAGGAAAATGTTCCACAAGGAAAAAAACAACTTTTATATATTTGAATATATTTTCTTTGTTTTTATTCAAGACTTTTAAAGTCAAAAGAAAAAGAAGATTTGATCAAACAGCAAACTGTCTTTCCTCCACCAAACTTTCTCTCCCAGGCTGAGAGAAAGTTTATCTGGGGAACAATTTCATCTCCTTAAAAAGCAAACAGCTTCCAGCCTGCTGCCCCTGCTGGGTTTAGTTCCAGGCCGGAGCTCCAGGTCAGGCGTGCGGGCCTCACCTAAAGGTCAGAGGTCGCAGAAACAGAAAGGTTGGCTATTCTGCTCTGGGAGACAAGCTGCTCTTTGTGGCGTTTATCAGCTGCAGCGTGTTTCCTGCTGCGGCACAGATAACGCTGCAGGGAGCCCAGTCTGCCCTGCAGCACTGGTTTCACTGGTTTAGTTGCCATGGTAACACTAAACAGAGCAGAGAGGAAGCAGCAGCCATTTTTATTTCATCTGTTTATCGGTTTCTTCTGTGTTTAGATGCTGGTCCTTCCTGTTTGTTTTCTGTTTAATCCTCTTTAATCTCAGCTGAACTTCCTGCTGAGCCGCCGCAGCGTTTCCTCATCGCAGGCCTGACATTTGCTTTATGACACTTTCTTGTTGTTTATGGGATGTTTATCTCATTTCATCAGAACTGATCTGAGCTTTAGATTCATGTTGTGAATCATTTTCAACAGAAACCATCCAATTATATAGAATCCATTTCGTAGCAAACACATAATTTTTTTATATAAATTTTGAAAAATTGCCAGTGGGAACTAAATTGTTCAGTGCAGTTCATAACATGAACTGTAATAAATTAATTACATTTTAATAAAAGCAAGACTTTTAATTCAGAAATCCTATTTATAGTCATATGAGCTCAACAAGAAAGATTTTTATCATTTTTTTCAGATTGGAATAAAGTTCAGCTTCTTTATAAATTGACTCTATCTTAGCATTAGCAACATGTTTAGCGTTGAGATGCTATTTTAGCCTAGCATAGCTGATAGGCTAACCGCTTTTAGCACAGTTTGAAGACAACAGCAGTCTTTTCCAGCGTCCAATCAGATTGCCTAGATGCAGATATGAAACCCAGTGAGACCAGTGGGACCAGTGAGACCAGTGGAACCAGTGGGACCAGTGAGACCAGTGGAACCAGTGAGACCAGTGAGACCAGTGGGACCAGTGGGACCAGTGAGACCAGTGAGACCAGTGGGACCAGTCAGACCAGTGAGACCAGTGGGACCAGTGAGACCAGTGAGACCAGTGGGACCAGTCAGACCAGTGAGACCAGTGGGACCAGTGAGACCAGTGGGACCAGTGAGACCAGTGGGACCACTGGTCTCACTGGGCTCACCAGTGAGACCAGTGAGACCAGTGAGACCAGTGGAACCAGTGAGACCAGTGAGACCAGTGGAACCAGTGGAACCAGTCACGCACAGCGCTGACGTCACATCTCCATGAGCGAAATGCAGCTTTTTCTCTTCCGCTTTGAGTTACCATCACAACTAGAAAAGACAAAGTCGTATTTCAGACGTAAACTCTATGCACTTTGTTGTCTTCTTAACATGTGAGCTTTTAAGTTTTTATGGATTTCCAAATTAGGAAGATGGCGGCTACCAGCTAAAGCTAACGCTGCACAGCAAAGTTTCCAGCTTTCACTTCACTCCGGATCAGTAAATAAATAAATAGCATATTTAGCACAAAACAAATGTCCAAGAATGTTGCCTACTGGCATGAGCTCAAGCTAATGTTAGCCACAATAAGCTAAAGCTAATGTTAGCCACAAAGTTGAAAGAAAGTAAAACTCACCTTCGTATCTGTGAATGTATGACGAGGCGAACATCTTAAATCTTTTCTCCAGATTGTTGTTGGAGCTTCTGATCCATATTCATCATTAATGTTTCTTTGGACAAACCCTGCAAAGACCCAGTGCCATTTTCAACAGACCGGAAACGACGAGCCGCTTTTTCCTGAACGGGAAAACTGCCGAGCAAAGAGTGTGCGACAGATTTACAGTCGTACCAGAAACACACTAATACAAAGGTTCCAGGTTGGCCATGAAAAATTTAACTGATTGTGTTCATTTTAACGTGTTAAAGTTTATGTAATTAATTTAATGAATTCTTCCTGGTGCTAACAGAAAGATTTTCTATGAGGAAATCCCAACAAGCATGTGGCGACAGTGTGCAGGAACAACTCCTTTGTATTCACTTGGGTCTGTATTCTGTTGACCTGCCTCTTCCTGAAACCTTGTCATAATCTCAACTTCTGCATTTGGCCCGGAACAGTTTGGTGTGGCTTGTTGGAGTCCACTTTATAAATTCTGTATGTCTGACTGAATCATTTTAATTTTAAAAGAAACAAATGTAAGATGATTTATTTTTACTTTTCATGTAATAGGTTTCTATAGAAGATCAGTTGTTTACTAAAGATGTTAAGGAGTTGTACTGCGCCTTTAAGAGGAGTCACTATGTTGTTTTCTGGCTGGCCCCTCCCCCGGAGGTTCTGGGGAATTTTGTTTTGTTTTGGGTTCTGGCAAGATGGTTGAATAAAAGTCTGGACCGCTACGCTATTCCCGCTCATTGTCCTACTTTTTCTCCACCCACGACCTCTCAGTTTCTGGTAACACAGATTTATCTAACATTACAGTGTTACACAAATAAAACAGTAAAACATAACAAACAACATAAACCAGCTGCAGGAGATTTACTCCAAGTGAAGAGATTTTATAATTTAAATGTTTTTTAACCAGATAAATTAATAAAACCAACCAAATGCATATAAATATTGCTTTGAGAAATCTAATAATTAAAAGAGTTAAAAATCCTTGTGAATCTACACAGTAAATGGTGTAGATGTAAATGTGACTGATGTCTTACGTTTGATCAAATTTATGCTGTCGTGACTCAGATGTCCCTCATATATCCTTGGAAACCGGAGCTCATGCAAACGCAGCTGATATTTACATGCTGGGTGGAAACTGTGAGGCGCTTCCTGATCCACCGTGATGCTGGATAAGATCCACCAACATCCTCCATCTCTTCTTTCATCTCTTCTTTCATCTCTTCTTTCATCTCTTCTTTCAATGCTACACATTGAGTATTTAGTTTACTGACTACATATTTTTGCTCCAAACTAAACATTTAGTTTGGAGCTAAATATTTAGCTCTGATTTAAATATTAAAAACAATTTGAAACTGTGACATTTAGAAATGAATAAACAAGGTGAAAATGTTCCTTTGAAAAATTTACCCATGTTTTTCTTTTATGATAAATTTTTGCAGGATACTAAAAAAGGCATCCCATAATTTGATTCAAAAATAAATTATTCTAGTTAATTATAAACTTTCTAATCAGCAGGTTTATGGTCTCATCTTCACACAGAAAAATAAAGAGATTAAAATCTGGACTCTGACGCCCTCTGGTGGACAGAGTCCAGCATTCAGCTTCCGGTAGGTTGAATGTGAGTCCAGAGGAATTCATTTATTATGCTGAGATCAGACTAACCTGTTTCTCCACCTGGCTTGGTGACGTCATCCCCAGTGAGCTGGCTGTAATGACCAGGCTCCACCGGCGGGGGGCAGTATATGAATTTGAGGCTCCCCGCCAGCAGCCGGAAGTGACGCAACGAGCCCGCGGTGAGCAGAGCGGAGGATCGGTGGGTTTAAATGAGCAGAGGAGCGTCTGGTATCAAACTCCAGCCGCCCAGAGGTTAATCGGCCCCGCGGTCACTTCCTGCCCCGGCCTGATGGCGGCGCCGCCCCCGCAGCAGCAGCAGCCTCCGCCCGGGGCG